CATATATTGTACGTTTTACCTCTGCATAATCCTTCCCTAGATCAAACAAACATGTGCTTGATCTGAGACAGGTAATTCTATCTCACACTTAAAAAAATTTCCCACCCTCTTAGAGAAGCCAAAATCTCAAACAGATATATAATGTTATTTATTTGCATTGTATTAACATCTAAAGGCCCCAATCAAGATCTGGGCCCCATTGTGCTGATTCACTGGTATCCAACCTGCGGATACCCCTAAAATGCCCTTGTGTTAAAAGGAAAATGTGTATCTCATTATGAATTGAAAATGTGTCCCCTGCAGGAGCAGGAAGATGCCTTCCCAACTGTGTCCCACAGTTCCCCTGCAGTCCTGAAGCAGCTCTGATGGGACCTGGGAGTCCTCTTCACCTGCCCCTCCCTGCCGGGGGGGGGGGGATCAGAAATGTGTATGCACACAAGCTACTCCACTGCTCCCAACTGCAGTATTTTCATAATCTCCCCCAAAAAGTATGCCATTGCACGCAATATAATCACTAAGGGCCATATTCTAACATAAACCCTAGCCTAGTCCCGCTCCAGATTTGAACAATTTTTCCTCAATCAACGTCAAAGGACCACATTTCAGCCAGTCCCTAAACCTAACCTGGATACAAACTCTTCTTTTTGACCCATCTCAAAAAAGAGATCATCAGTCTTCAGAAAGAAATGTTAAATACAGTTATTCTGATAAACAGATACTAACTAATTAGTAGACAATTACTTCATTGCTACAGAAGAGACAAAACACTACAATTTTAAACATGTTTTATCTTTATGATAGTTATCATTACTAATTAGCACTTTACATAAAGACTTAAAATCCATTTAAAACATATATATTGGAAGTAACTATGTATAAATTACACTGAAAACGCAGTTTACAGTAGGGTAGGAGGGTCACCTTTACCCCAGTATTCTATTCCAACATAAAAATGAGAGTACCATTCTTTTCTTGTTCTCCCAATCCTTTCTCCAAAAACAGTATGATAAATTGACAAAACTGTTTCCAAACTATTTTTCAGAAACCTGCCATGAACCATCCAGAGATCTGGAACGATTTTAGAGTTATTCTTCCTCTTATCAGCTTATTTTCCCAGCTTCTGAAAACTCCCTTTCAGTTTCCCATCTCTAGGATGAGATAATACAGTGGAAATAATATCAATGTTTATGTTATATAGAGAGCCTTTTAAGTGTGTTCTCAGCGAGAAAAATAAAAGCAGAGGCCCTGTCCAAAAATGTAAATTCTGTCTCTATCTGTGGCAATTTAGCATATTTTTATTTTCATATATGCTGGCTGGGAGTTGCTGGTTTGAAAGTAGAATGTAACATTTTATGCAAGTTTTACATGGATGAATAGCGTTCAGACTTTGATACCATTTTTAAATGATAGTTTTCTACTAAGTAAAGATGAAGCAATTTATTTATTTTAATCACAGAGGATATTAATCGTATATAAAATAAGATACAAAATTCCCCAAGTGTGAAATTAATAACATACATATAATAATATACATCTTGGGCTGTTTTAAAGGTTGCACAATAGCAATTTTTAGCTTTTGAGTAAAGACCATATGTACACAAGATCTGTTAAAGGAGCAAGTAAAAATAAGAAGAGACATGAAATATCTGATTAAAGAATGAAAGGGGTAAGGAGTCTTTCCCTCAAGATACAGCATTTCACAGATGGCCAGGTGCACTGTTGCTTTCATCTAGAACATCCTGGGTGAGCTCCTGGCTCCACTGATGCCCACGACAAAACTCCTTTGACAATCATTGGAAGCATGATGGTGGATTAGATTGACCTTTGGTTTGCTATAGCATGGCAGGTTCTTATGCATGGAACACCCCTCCCTGAATTAGACCATTAAGATACTTCATGCTCTTCTGTTCATATCCCTTCTCAAGACCTTGTTCTACTGTTATGTTTACTGGGAGTCATCAACTGATAATGACTAAGGAGAGGGCCAGTGGAGATTGTGATAGTTTTATTTTTCAGAATAATCCAGTTGTGACATAACTGGCATACATCACAACGTGATTTTGTCACTATTACCCTCAGCTTCCCAAATTCACTTTTTATTATCTTACAATAAGGGCTGCCCCTGCTGCCAGTGAAGCCAATGGCCAAACTTCCAGTGATTGCACTGGTGCAGGATCAAGGCCTTAGAATGTAAACTCTTTGTGGCAGGGATCACGTTCTGCAACACGTTTGTACAGCACTTTGTGCCCCTGACCCTTGCTGTCGTGGTTGGGCACTACCACAATAGAAATAAGGAGCAATATGACCGTAATAGAGTTTTAAACACCACAGAGTAAGGACATTTGTGAAATATGGTGGTGATGCATTTTTCTTCTTGCTTGATGTTAACAACAATGGTTGGCAGTGTTGGTATCTACGCACCTTAATACCCAGTTTTCCTAACATGTATTATTCTGTTCATACATGGGGGAAAAATAATCACGCAATACTGTCGAGCCACGGCAATTTTTTCACAAGTAAGCTTAAACGTGGTAGTTTTGCAGTGGCCAGGGGGGATCTCAGGTGTAGGAGAAGTTACTGAGGGATTAAAGTGTTCAGCTCCTCTAAAAATCAGGGTGTTTCTATTAAGGGGCTTAAATATGAATTTAGGCACCTACAGTAGAAAAATTTGGCTTTAGGTGATTTCTTTTGCCTTGCAACTCGAAAGTCATGGTTTCCTACCTCAAGACAAGGAGCATCTATCATTTGTTCTTTGTCCTGATTCCTGAAACTAGAGAAAGGTGATGTTAAAAGATTTCAGTCACTGATCTTCAGAGCTACTGTATCTAGCAGGACAGACGTACCTGTCCAACATCAGATTTTTGGCCGAAACTTGGGATTTTGCAGGATTTCTCAGACTCTCAAGATGGCTTCCAAAAATGTCAGAACTTTCAAAGTGCCACAGGTGGAGCTGCATGCTTCAACCATGACAGTTAGGTTTACAAGAAGGCCCTATCCAAACAAGAGTGCAAATAAACTATTTCTTGATCCTCACCACTGTTTGTACTCACAGGTATCAGGAATGTCATTTTTCTCAGAAACACGTATATTGTTAATGCAATTTTTGTTTTCAAATGGTAGAGAGAAATCCAGGGGTGGATCAGGAGAGAAAACCTCGTGGTTTCCAATTTCCCCATTGTGGGAAATGAGATCAGATGAGAACAGGTGACTGACCAGGGAACCAAAGTGTCAATGATTTTTCTAATGAGTATGGCACTCCAGCATTTCTTCAGTCTTTCTGGGTTTCAGCTGCTATTTTCAAGGAAAGTGAAACATTTAATTAAATCTAGATGCCTAGAAACAAATCTGTTCTCATACCACTGTGTATCATTTATACCCATTTTTACTGATGAGGGTTTGGCACCACCCCGTGGCCAGTCTGAGTTACTCATTTAAAGTGACAAGATATTGTAAACACTTTTTTTTTTTCACTCTTGCGAACCATAAAAAATGAGTTAGAATCTAAAAACTTTTTCAGCCTCTGTTAGAAGGAGACACTAAAAATCTGTACTGGATTCTTACTATTAGATAAGTGGTTAGGGCACTCGCCTAGGACTTGAGAGACCAGCGTTCAATTCTCTGCTCTGCCACAGCTATCCTGCATGACCTTGGGCAAGTCACTTTGCCTCTTTGTGCCTCAGTTTTCCATCTGTAAAAATGGAGATAAAAGCACTTCCCTACTTCACAGTGGTGTTATGAGGATAATACATTAAATATTGTTAAGTGCTTTGAGATCTACTGATGAAAAGCATTATAAAAGGACTAGGTGTTACTATTATTTTAAAAGCAGGGACAATTAGTTCTGAGCAACAGTGAGGTACAATTTCCATCCGAACCTCATTTTTTCAGTAGCTTATAACTTTTCCAAACATATTACTTTTGCGTTCAAGGTTTCCACAGCGAGTCTCACCCCAAAGGTTCAGCAACTCCAGCCCAAAATTAGAATAGGACAATAAAAACAGCTATTAAAGACAAATCTATCCTCCTCTCTACATAGAGAATTTGGTAATTATTTTATAATTATTTAAATGCAGTAATAAACAGGTAAATATCATTTAATTTACGATGGAAAACCTTGAATATTCCATTAGTCCAAAGAACATTTGGATTTTTTGTAAATGGAATAAGCAGATTATTTGCAAAGTTTGGAAAAACCAGAAAACATAAAGTCAGCACGTCCTAAGCATATGCATGTGAGGCTCTTAGCTAAGGGACCTATTTAATGACTAGCAAATTATTTTTGCAAATTCTTAGGGTCAAAGTCAGAAGAGATGGATGAGATAGTTTAAATCAGATTATTTTACTCTCTGACTCCCTCAGACCTACTTAGTGATGTATAAAGGATTCTAAGTTCGTGTAAATGGACATAGAATGAAAGGACTTGAAGGGACCACAAGGGTCATCTCGTTTAATCCCCATGTCTCCATGGTTGCAGTCTCCCCATTCTGGATCTCTTGGAGGGCTCAATGCAGACGTAAGGATCCACCAATAAGGAGGAGGTGGGAATGAGAGGGGACGGATTGGGGGAGGGCCATATCTCCCAGAAGACATTCCATAGGCAAGTTAATACAACCTGCGGCTGAATTAGTTCTTCTGCAGAGCCCCATGCATGCTGGGACATCTATAACAAGGGATCCAAAGGTCCCATGCCACTTGAGGAGTCCCTGACAAAGTCACGCTGGCAGGGAGTATGAACAGAGATGAAGGATGCCCAGAATCAGTGCAGAGGCACAGGGCCTTCTTGTGGATAATCTTGCAAACCCAGCAGATATTGGGGTTCCACAGGGTTTGAGGGAAGGATGCCGCATTTCTTCTGCTAAGGACAAACCCCATCCAGAATGAGAGAATGCAGAGGACACTCAACAAAGGTAACCCTGTGTGGTTTTCTGGTCTTTACAGAAGTATTTATAATCGGGATATGATCTAGCCTATGCACAAATGACAGCTGTGGAGACGCTGAGAAAGTTCCAAAGGTAACCTGAACATGGTTACAGCCTTTTATGTTATAGAAAGGCATACATTTAGCTTTACACATAGGATATAGTTTGCTTCAAAGCGCAATATTGAGAAGCAGCATATCACATTTTATAGGAATATGATTTCACTTTTTTACTGAAAAGTATCTATAAATATTCACAATCTGGAATTGTGAACATTTATAGATACTTTTCAGTAAAATATATTTACATTTAAATCCACAATTTATCTTCCTTCAGGTACAATATTACCAAGCTTTGTTCTGTCATTTTTATAATTAACAAAAATATTGTATCTTCTGTTGAAATACTGTATTGACATTCTTGTAAAATATATACAATATATATACAAATGCAAAAGCTCTTAAATAATAAATTTTAACTACAGTAATCAAATGAAAAATTCTAAATATAGCCAGCCATATTTGTACACGCAGAAAAAGACCATTTCTCTGCTTTATAAGGATTGTTGCAAGAGCAACAGTAGTTTTTCTGACTCTTCTGACTGAGGTAATGCCCACCTCTTCTTTACATACTGAATGTCAATTATTCCAGATTGTTTGGCCAATGCGATCCCCAACAGACCATTTGTTTTTTCCGGTTCACCCAATACAACCATAGTCATAACCCTGAAAGCAAAAGAGGAGGTGTTTTTTAAATGGAGACAAAATGAATGAAAATGGAAACCCCCAATGTGTACCTGTTTATCAACCCCCAATGTGTACTGAGCACTTCAAAAGCTTGCTAATAGGAAATTATAATTAACTGAATTATCTGCCAAAAAAACAGGTAAAATGCCAGAAATGGAAATATAGAGAAACATATTATGCTATGACAAGCAATAAGAAAATGACCAATCAGCTGCAATAATTCACATACATATATTTGAGGGGGAAATTTTTATCTTGGTACACAGCCTCCATGTGATCAAATGTCTAATCATGCTTTAAACATTAGTTCAAGTAAAATAGCTATTATTGTACAAAACTTAAAAAATAATTTTAGCAGCTTTTAAAAATTATGTTTATTTTATACTGATTTCCCCCAAAATCTTACATGAGCCAGCGATCCTAGCCAGATTCTTATCAGGCTGGGTTACTCTGTACAAAGTAAATATTTAAAAGTAAGGACAGAGAAATAAAAGTTTCCTGTTCCCACTCAGGAAAAATAATCATAATTTATTTCTATATATATTTTAAGCATATATATATGTATGCATTTTAATAGTATCCCTCTCTTCAACTCTTCATATTTTCCCTGTCATCTTGGGGATTGATCCTGCTGACTGTTCTGGACCTGAGTCAGCAAAACATTTAAGCATATGCTTAATTTTAAGCATATGAGTAATCCAGTTGACTTAAATGGGAACAGAATTTGACCATCTATAACAGCTTGATGCTGCAGCGGCTCCATGCACAGAACTCCCACAGATGACACTGTGCTTTGTTGTGATTTACACTAAGAACATTTTACTCTTCTCTGACAGTGTTAAAGGACCTTGGAGTGGTCACTCCACTGTAAGGAGTCACTCACTGTAAGGCCTCTTTACACTGCCAGAACAGGTAAAAAAAATGTTTGTGTAAATAAAAATCAGGCATAATGCAAGTTTCTTGCTGACAGCAATCACAAATTCATGCTCTAATGGAGGTGTAAAGTTAAGCAAAAAAAAAAAAAAACCTAACAAAAAGGCAGATTCAGTGCAATGTTGCCATCTTCTAACAGCAAGAAAAAGCAAAAGTCATTTAATTTACTTACTTATCTGATTGGATAATTTGTTTGGCTACAGGACACAAGTCGTTTTCCAGTAGATCCCAAATGTAAACACAAGATGATGCATCCAGGACAAAAAACACAGCAGGTCTTGTAAGAGCCCACTGGAGGGCAATAACTGGCTGGCCATTTGTGCTGTCATTCCACTGTATGAGGGGATGCTCTGAAGTCATTTGGTGCAATCTAATACTTCCATCTGAACAGCCAACCTGTACAGCAACACAAAGAAAAATCTTATCTGGGAAAGAAACAAACTAATTAAAATTAAAGTTACAAACCTATTGATGAAAAGATCAGTTATGTTATTCAGCTATACTGTATTTGGCTTTGGTCTTTACAATAAAAGCACAGGTTTCAGAGTAGCAGCCGTGTTAGTCTGTATCCGCAAAAAGAAAAGGAGTACTTGTGGCGCCTTAGAGACAACAAAGTTATTTGAGCATAAGTTTACGTGAGCTACAGCTCACTTCATTGGATGCATGCAGTGGAAAATACAGTGGGGAGATTTTATATACACAGAGAACATGAAACAATGGGTGTTACCATACACGCTGTAACGAGAGTGATCAGGTAAGGTGAGCTATTACCAGCAGAAGAGAAAAAAAAACCTTTTGTAGTGATAATCAAGGTGGGCCATTTCCAGCAGTTGACAAGAACATGTGAGGAACAGTGGCGGGGGGGAAATAAACATGGGGAAATGGTTTCACTTTGTGTAATGACACATCCACTCCCAGTCTTTATTCAAGCCTAATGTAACGGTGTCCAGTTTGCAAATTAATTCCAATTCAGCAGTCTCTCGTTGGAGTCTGTTCTTGAAGTTTTTTTGGTTGAAGAATTGCAACTTTTAGGTCTGTAATCGAGTGACTAGAGTGGCTGAAGTGTTCTCCAACTGGTTTTTGAATGTTATAATTCTTGACATCTGATTTGTGTCCATTTATTCTTTTACGTAGAGACTGTCCGGTTTGGCCAGTGTACCTGGCAGAGGGGCATTGCTGGCACATGATGGCATATGTCACAATATATATATCTACCAATGTGATATATGCCATCATGTGCCACGAATGCCCCTCTGCCAGGTACATTGGCCAAACCGGACAGTCTCTACGTAAAAGAATAAATGGACACAAATCAGACGTCAAGAATTATAACATTCAAAAACCAGTCGGCGAACACCCATTGTTTCATGTTCTCTGTGTATATAAAATCTCCCCACTGTATTTTCCACTGCATGCATCCGATGAAGTGAGCTGTAGCTCACGAAAGCTTATTTTCAAATAAATTTGTTAGTCTGTAAGGTGCCACAAGTACTCCTTTTTTAATAAAAGCATAGTTATCTGATTTATGCGTCACTATTATACTTCAGTGTGTGGATATCAGGAATTTCCCAATTTTTAATTTTTGGTATGGTTTCAAGTTTCAGTGGTAACCCCATACAAAGCATACTGCAATAACTCAAATCTGGAGGTCACAAAGACTAACTGGGATGAAATCTACATCAATAGGAAAATCTGCAACCTACTAGAGAGATACAGACAAAATAACTCTCCTGGCTACTTCTACTAAGCCACAGGAGTAGCCAAGGATTCAAATGGACCCCCAGATTGTACATCTCACTAAGGCCTTGATCCTGCACCACTGAAGTCAACAGGAGCTTGGCCATTGATTTCTCTGACTGTCTTACCATAAATACGTGGGTGACATTCAGCTCTGTTGCTTTCATTAAACATGAGTAATTTGATGCCTTCGCTTTCTTAGTTGTCTGGATTATAGCAAATTGGCTAAAGCTTATTCTAGACAAGACAATGGTAACGCTGATGGATAGATCAAAGTATCTGAAGGAAGTGATGAGAGGGATATCTGTCTCATTACTGAAGGTGTGCATGAATTGGGTTCATAAGGTCTGATGCTCCCAAGCCATCTACTATCTTCCTCATTTCCTCACATACACATTGTAGAAGAGGGGAGAAAGAATAGAAATGTGCAGTATTCTGGAGGATAAAGCCCTTAGAGCAGATGATTCTCACTGTGGGTTTTCTCCAACAGGGAGAAACAGGTATCATAAAATATAACTCTGTTCTTGCTAGTGTCCATGAGAACCTCAGGTCAGTATATTTAAAGTTACTGACAAATCAAAAAGAATCAGCGTGTCCATCCTTGTCCACTCTTATGAGATGGACCAGTGCGTCCAGCATAGTCCTCAGACCACATACAAGCCTAATGTTGGTCTGAACGGTGTGAAGGAAGTCAAACGACTCCAGCTGCTTTGCCACAACGGCCACAATAATCTTTGCCAAACAAGGAAAGTTAGGTATGAATGGTAATTGTCCATGAAATGGTTTCTAAAAAAAAAAGGATTAACTGCTTTTTTATGGAAGTAATATTAATATCTCCCAATAAAGATCCAACACCTTTTTCTCCCCACTCCTATATGTGCTTTTACTAGCCACAGGTCCATCCAACAAGTTACAGGCTAAAGATCACATAGTACTTCCAGTACCACAATGAGCTAAATGGGCTAAAATTAAAGCAGGCTTCATTTTGCATTTGCTTTCATCCAAAATTACTCTATATTTATAGATTTGGATAATACAGTCTGAATCTGACCAAATTTATCCCAGAAAAAGGTGGAAGATACCACAGAGTAAGAACGTCAGTTCTGGTTCTGGGTAGAGGCAGTACAGAATGTGTATGTTTGCTGGCCAAACATCAGCCTGATTTACAATCTGTGCAATCCCACTGAAGTGATGTAAATTGGGGCAGATATGACATTATCATAGAATAGTTCAAACATAACTAAGTATCTGGATAAATAGAAATTAAATCCTATTGTAATCATTTTCAACTAGTGTTCAGTAAGCTTGTACAAGAGAGACAGATAATTTTTGTGCGTGTGTCCATGCTATCTACAAAAGGAAAACAACCCAGACTGAGGTATGGGATAAGATAAGAGTAAGATAAGAGTTACGGGTTACCTAGTTCATGATACAACTACAAGCTAAAAATGGTCCTCGTTGTAATGAGAGTGGGCAATACATTCTAAGGATAATCAGCTGTCCTGGGATTGTCAGTCTGTTTCTGCAAGCCAGCTGCTTCATCTCTCAGCATATGATGAGTTTAATCACTAATATACAATACTTGTTTGCCACCTCTCAAGAGGGTTCTGAATTGGGAATGTAAATTGAGTGTTATTACATGTGTTGAGTTAGAACTCTTAGAAATCCCCCACCCCAAATAATTTGAAATTAAACTAATGTTAGGAAAAAGCCTTCCATACCAAAAATATTGGCTTTCCAAAAGGGGAGAAATCAACTGCATTAGCTCTTATTGGTCTTGGTCCACCCTGCTGGGGTTTGAACAGCTTTGGAGGTACTCTTAAATCATGTCTTGCACCATGACTTACCACACCCTGTTAATAAAATAAACAAAACAAAACCAAATCATCTGTATCATCAGCATTTATATTAAATAAAAACCTATGTATAGCAATTTACAGCGAGCTGCTGCACTTAAAGATCAGTACTAATTAGAATAAAACTATTTTTAATAATATCCAACAGTAAATATTTACATATGTAGTGCCCATATAATTCCAAAGAAAATAGACAGCTTTTATAATTATAATTACAGTAATAGGAGAGATGAGAACAATGCAATGAAATTTAGAACGTTACTCACAATGTCTGTTCCAACAATGAAATGATTAGGATTAGAAGGGAGAAACTTAATATTCAGTGTTTGAGGTGTCCTCAGGCATAGGATATCTTTTGGGAAAAGGCTGGGGAAATGCAAATGAAAAAGATAATATAAATAACCAGGACCTGTTCTCCCAAATCAATGCAAGTATATACTGCATCCTGTGACTACAACAATAACTAGAAGATGTTGTTGGTTCTGAGTGTTAAATATTTGTTTGAAACACTGGGCCACATTCATCTGTCTATGCACAGGAAGAGGCAGAATGTAAAAATTTTAAACTGGAAGGTCTCCCAAATTTAACATGTTAATGGACATGTCTGGCAAAAGTGTATATTTTCAACAGTAATGAACTATTGAAAATCATGATCAATATATATTAGATAACAATAATATGCCCAGTTTTAGGGGAGAATTATCTCAATGAATTATAAATACACAATTTAATGGATAAATAGTGTTTTCTTACCTGCTATTCAACTGAACAGTAGAGCTATGTACTAACTTTACTTTCCCCCCAGGAATTAAACCTGAAATGATAAATAATTATTCTTTAAACCAGGGACTCAAATGTCAATAAAATATCAAGAATCACATATCATTGTTTAATTAAATAGAACGTATAAAAATAACTATGTTAAAATAGAATTAAGATCCCAATTAATAAACACAGGGAAATTCACAGTTAAAACACTGTCCTTAAAGATGAGACAAGCTAAAATGTGTTGTTTAGAAAAATTATTGGCTATAGAATTCAAATCCTAAAAAGTTGTAATTATTGTTGGAAGTGGGAGGAAGAAGGGAAAAGGGAGAAATGGACATTTTAATTCTAAAATTATAACCTCTAGAACTTCAACTGAATTACCATCTGTATTAGTTCTACAGGTTTTCTCTCTTTGATAATATGCACCATCGCATAATATTACTATACAAAGACTAATGATAGAAATGACACATTGATATCATTGGGACCCCCGGTAATAAAATACACCGTACACAGTAAAAAGATAACGTGTAATAATATTACCAAGAACACTGCTACCATACTGTATTAATTCAAAAAGAGAACTGTACCAGCAACTGAATTTTTCTTATTGTAAAGGAACATTCTGAAGAGGGAAAATAAATGCTGGGGCCAGCGTGCTGAACTAGCACAAGTGTGTCTGACAAAACTCCATAGCTTTTAAACTGCACATATATACAGATACACAAAATATTCAGATTTAGCAAATTACACGGATCCGCAGTGATACAGGAGCTTAAGAAACTAAAAATTTCATCCATGTTTTTACTGCAGATGTGCAGACGCACAGTTTTATTATTATAAAGGTTATAAATTTATTTTTAAATGTGGTGTTTTGAAACAGGTTGATTAGTTTGATGATTAGTCCTTACTGAGTACAAGAGACATTTGAATGATGCAGTTTTAAAAATTCAGTCTTTTTAAAGCGATCGACAAACGTAAGTCCTAATTTGTTCGAAGTGAAGAAAGTGTATTTTCAGATAACCTGAAAATGGCTGAATGTATCTCATTCAATTCTGGGAGGAAAATGTGATCTTTGTTCTGAAACCAAATATGGTAAGTTACAGCCCAAAAGGAGAGTTTTTGAGACAGTTATAAGGATGCAAATGAGGGCTGCTTTGGAAGGGAAGTTACAACTTTGACTAAAGCTAAAGACAGCATGTGTGTATTGATAAGGGTATCTATTCCAGTGATGATGAAGGAAGAACTGCCAGAGAGCTTGTGAAAGGTGTAAAAAACAAGATGCCCCTGAAGGGAAGAGCTGGCAGAGCAGTAAGGGGATATTCCAATAGCAGTGATGAGAAAGCTCCCAAAACACAATATATAGACCCAAATTCAGATCAGATTCTCCATAAATGCAAAATGGCAGTTGCACTCTCATCTTCCTACAAATTCCCGGAGTGTTCCCTCACTGACTGCACTGCCCTCCCAATGACCTCTTTCTCCCTTCCACTCAAAAACGGATTGCTTTATTAATTGTTCCTCTCATGTACAGTACTTACCTAAATCACTTTGTGAACCAGCCAAATCCACTTTTTGTAATTCAACTGCTACCTAAAAAAGGACAATGATTCAAAATAAGCAAATATTGAATATTAACAAAACCTACACTGACATTCTAGGTTCCCTGTCACTGCTCTATGTGAGCATCCTTGAGGCTGGTCGACCTAGTACTAACTCGTGCGAAAGTCCCTATGTCTCAATTGAACACTGTCAAATATGTAACTGGAATCAGTCTGGCTTAGTATAGGTATTAGAACTATAAGAACATGTTTAGACTTTATTGAATACTTGTGAATTGCTGCATGCATTCATCTCACTTATAACATCTGTATTCCATACTGTAAGCTAATAGTTGAGTGGTTGTATTGTGAGCATCTGTGACTGTGTAAATCACCAGACGTGGGAGAGACATTAATTAGTGCGAAGGGCTGCTCTTCAACAGAAGGTGTTAAATCCTTTCCAACAGGAAAGGTCCATCAGTATCAGACAGACTATTGTGGGATGTTAAAGAGGACAAAAGACATTTGTTGTTCTGCTCTCTCCCACCCTGCCCATGAAGATGTTTTATGCAAGCTGATTCCTTGCATCAACTCAATTTGCAGCTCAGAGCACTTGGCAGGAGGGGGATTAAAAAACCCCGAACAAAAGGAACAAGATACCTCTATGCTGTTTGGACTTGGGGAGAGGGGTCGGGATGGGAAGTGTTTCTTGGGATAAGCAAGAGACCCTCAGCTGCTTAGTCTGGGTTAGCTCTAAAGGACATAAGGAGCTTGCTGATTGTAGACGCTTCTATTACCTTTTGAAACTTAAGATTGTAACTCGTGTATATATGTTTACCTGTTTTAACCTTGTAAATAACTCCCTTGTTTCCTTTTCCTATTTAATACATCTTTATATAGTATGGTCTTTGGTCTGAGATGTAAGGTGCAAGTGACCTGGGGAAAGTGACTGGTCCTTTGGGACTGGGAGAAAAATCTGAATATTGCTGTGATTCTTCGTAGAAGGGATCATCTGTCAGAAAGGTAAGCTCACCTTATTGGTAAGACAGACCCGAGTACCAAGGGGACTGTCTATGACTCTATGTTAAGGCTGTTATAGTGCCTCAAAAGTTTACATTTGATAATTGGTTCTAAGTATAGATCTCACAACCAATTTGGGGTTTGTGCCCTGGATTTTAATAGTCTGTACTGAGGTTGGTATTCATGTACTTGAGTCACTGCAGGCTGCGTTACAGTAGCTATATCAGAACTGAGCCTAACATTACAATGACACTATGCAGATTTTCTGCCCTGCACTGCTCATACAGAAAAATGGAGGGTAGAAGAGAGGCTTCAAGTCCCCTTCTGGGGATTCCCTGGTGTGAGGCAGTCACCACTGGGAAGGTAGCTAGCAGAGCCAGTTCCTATACTATGCACCCCAGAGACCTTGGCACAGGGAGCATGTCAGGACAAGGAGGAAGAGACGCTGGAGTGTGATATGTTCCAACAATCCCCAGCTGATAGATGGAGACAGTTGTCAGCTGGACAAGTTAGAGCAGTCCTTGGGCTGCTCTGGCCTATAGCTGGTATGTGTGGGCAGAGAATCAGGGATGGCCCCTACCCTACCCCTCAATCCCATGCTGTGCCCAAGGTAAACTGGATGTAGCAGATAATTTAGCCCTATATATTTTTTCCTCTTGTTGGGCCCAATCCTGTTCCCCATGAAATTAGTAGGAGCTTTGCTGGGTTTGAACTGGTTATACGGAGATGAAACGCTGTATGTCCCCTTATTAATCCACCTGTTCCCCAAAATTAATCTGATTGCAACAACAGGAACTAGCAAACAATAGGATTAGGCTGATACTTAGGATAAAGTAGAAATATTTCTAGTTTATCAGAATTAGGCTTAAAAATTGACAAGAAAGAGAGCACATTAATTAGAAGATAACAGAAAGACAAATATACGTATCATCCACAAAGTGGGGTTACTAACCTGCCTATAATATTTTCTGACTAGGTAATCAATTCTTTACCACACCTTGGCTATTCTTTGTGTGAAAAATATTTTCGAAAAGATTGAAGATGCCTCCAACATGTTATGAGTGTGGCTTCCCACCTCAGTTTCAGTGACTGACTGTCACACCCATAGTGATCTAAAGTGAATGAAGTGGGTAGACAAATGTGCTTCAACAGAGATTTCCCAAGAAACAGATAAATGTGAGCAACGTTCCCATAAGGCAGCACTGCTGATTGATTTGACCACATAGATCACATACCTATCAATAGTTCTGCCTAATTGGAACTTTGTGGTGTTTAGGGAGCCAAGTCATAGCACTTCTGGAAGTATGACAATAAAATGGCTAATGTTGCCACAATTTTCAAAAGAAACTCTTACCTGAAATCTTGGAAATGCGAAGGATGCTGCATTTTTAAAGAAAAAAATTCTCATTTCAAAAGTGCAATATTCCTGCTTTTCATACATATTTATTTACTCACCCACAGATTGAGAGTCCCATTTTCATCCATTGAAGCTATCTGGAATGACAGGCCTGACATTTCTATGGGGGGAAAAGTATAATAATACAGTATCAATAACAACTTACATTTATATAGTACCTTCATCCTGAATGATATCAAAGTGTTTAAATATTTACCAAACTGCTATATTGACTATGGCCCTATGCGGCTCTTCTGTGTGCTGCATAACAGAGAGGAAAGTGCCCTAATCCTATTAAAGGAAAGAAGGGGAGCCAATCTGGATACTCTCTCTTTCACCACCAGGTCCAAGCTGCCCTTCTGCACCTCTCTACACGTTTGGGTTCTGCAGGGATTTGGGGGCAGAACGAGAATTGGGACTAGGCCAAATTAGATAACAGCTGGACTGTGCAGATGCTCTTCTCTGGACTCCTGTTATTATTTTAGAATAATAATTTGCATTTAGTCCACCTATGTCTTCTACTACACACCCTGGTGGAGTTTGGGGCAGCACCAAAAGTAGCATGTTTCCTGAGGTAGCAGTGTTTCTAGGGGAGGTGGGTCATTAGGCAAGTTAGGGGACCGGTACAGAAAGAGATGCCGGGATCAGTGGCACATTGCGTGTGGTATCAGAAACAAACCTTTCCACAGATTCAGATTTTCTCACCCCTTACCTGAGGGAGAATATTTGGTAGAAACGCCATAAGATTTACCTTATGGAGTTTCTTGGGCCATCTTTCCCCATCTTGTGCATTTTACCATGGGAAGATACAATACTGCCCTGCATATAGGGAGCATGATAGAAATGCACTCACATTTGTGGCTAAAGCGCATACACTAACAATCCATAATAGTTGAGGGCAGAACATGAAGAATAATGCTGTATCCCAATGGAATACAGAGGACTTTAAGAAGGCAGAAGTCAGTTGTGAATTGGAATTTGGCTCGGACTAGGGATTAATACCCTTGTAAAATGTCTAGTATAACAGATATTTACTTAAAGAAAATATCAGATTTATTGATCCTTTGGAGAGCAGTTCACATACCTTCTTGAGAAGATAGGTGTGAGAGCCCATAATTCTGTTCCTTATAGACAGATGTTGAGACGGGTTCTATTGCCAGTACAGGATATGTGTGGTTTAACGAGGAGAGAACACCATCTGTAGTTAAGAAATTAACAAATCACTGTACTATTTTCAACAACAACAATAAACCCTACACATTTTCAGATTATTGTTTTAGGATTTAGTGATTACTAAGCAGGAATGACAAATAATGAACTTCATCAAAAATTCAAAACACAACTCTGCAAAATGTAGTTCTTAAGTCAACAAAATAGTAGTGGTAAATTGTCTTCTATTACTTGTTTTTATTTTTCACAATACAAAATGTTGCAGCATCATTGGCACCACACCTTCAGCCATTTCATTAATAAAAACCTGCTTTTCCACAGGTTTGTAACTCTGCTGTTAAAGTTTACGCAGACCTCAGTCGAGGATGAAAGTTTATGGAAAAAATATGAAGAAAATCTGTTTGCGTATTTATGCAGTTACATGACAAAAAAGAAGATGAGCTTCATTTTAAGGTGTTTTTAGTGCTGGTTGTTTAGTAGCTAGACCTTGATCATGCATCCTGCAGAACAGGGGGCTGCAGACAACCCCAACATAAAGCAGAAGCTGAAAAACCTTACAACATGGTTCTTAATCTAATCTGAGCAGTGGCAGAAAAGGTTGAAGGGAGCACACAGGTCCCCGTGGAATGAATACATACAGCTAGAAGGATCCATACAAGTTACAGTCTCAACGAGGAAAGCAAAAACTGAATAAATATCTAGAACATTTTATGGTTTTTGTGGCTTTAGAATCACAGGACTGGAAGGGACCTCGAGAGTTCATCTAGTCCAGTCCCTTGCACTCATCTAGACCAGTGCTTTTCAAGCTATCTGATGTGGGGGACCGGCATTTTTTTTTCCAATGTGCGTGCAGACCGGCAGCCGATGGCTCGTGGTCCGGCACAGGTCCGCTGACCACCACTTTGAGTAGCACTGATCTAGACCATCCCTGACAGGTGTTTGTCTAACTCGCTTTTAAAAATCTCCAATGATGGAGATTCCACAACTTCCCTAGGCAATTTATTTCAGTGCTTAACCATAAACGGAGTAGAGCGGAAGAATTACTTCTCATGTCTTGCTTGCACACTCTTACTAATACGTCCCAGAATGCTGTTTGCTTTTTTTGCAATAGGGTTACACTGTTGACTCATATTTAGCTTGTGGTCCACTATGGCTCCCAGACCCCTTTCCGCAGTCATTTCCCATTTTGTATGTGTGCAACTGATTGTTTCTTCCTAACGGAGTACTTTGCATTTGTCCTTATTGAATTTCATCCTATTTACTTCCAACCATTTCTTCAGATTGTCCAGATCATTTTGAATTATAATCCTATTCTCCAAAGCACTTGCAACCCCTCCCAGCTTGGTTTCATCCACAAACTTTATAAATGTACTCTCTATGCCATTATCTAAATCACTGATGAAGATATTGAACAGAGCTGGACCCAGAACTGATCCCTGCAGGACCCTACTCGTTATGCCCTTCCAGAATGACTGTGAACCACTTATAACTCCTCTCTGGGAACAGTTTTCCAACCAGTTATGCACCCACCTTACAGTAACTCCATCTAAGTTGCATTTCCCTAGTGTGTTTATGAGAAGGATAGTTTGCTCTTGTGCCCTTAATAATGTCTCTTTGAAAAACTGCCAACTGTCTTCAATTGTTTTTCCCCTTAGACTTGCTTGCCATGGGATCTTACTTACCAACTCCCTGAGTTTGCTAAAGTCTGCCTTCTTGAAATCCATTGTCTTTATTTTGCTGTTCTCCCTCCTAACATTCCTTAGAATCATGAACTCTATCATTTCATGATCACTTTCACCCAAGCTACCTTCCACTTTCAAATTCTCAACCAGTTCCTCCCTATTTGTCAAAATCTAATCTAGAACAGCCTCCCCCTAGTAGCTTTCTCTGCCTTCTGAAATAAAAATGCCTTTAGACGCCTTCCTTTTATTAAATCTTCAGATATGATATATTCCACCAGCTGTAAACCCAAAACAGTTCAGGTTTTTTTTTCAGAATTAAACATAATGTTGACTATGAAAATCTCCAGTGAAAAGGACCATCAACAGTGTTGAGATATACATGAGAACTCTCTTTTGAAAAAGCAACAAGACAATGGACTAAGACTGTATCCCAGGACTATAACCAAAACAACATCTAGCAACGTGAAGGAAGAGTAAATTAGCTATGACTGACCATATAACATTTTGTAATAGAAAATATCACACTGATTAACATAAAATGGAAATAATGTAAGAATGTTTAAATTTATTTTCATCTTATTTTATGTAAGTTTGAATAATAAAATTATTTTTTTAAAAAATCCACCAGCCTTAAAGTTTAATGGTAAATGACCCAAATAGTAACTAGAGACAGAGGGGCAGTCAGCATATGGTTAACTAAAACTTACCTTTGCCTTTTGTCTTTTTGATGCCCAGGCTTACTGAACCTCATTCCAGGTTTTGCTCTAGATTGTGCTGTGCTGATAGTGATACATCAACCATGTTGGAACATTTATTTATTTGTTTTGAATCAGATCTAAAACAAAATGACTCCAGAGCTGTGGGTGTCCTTGATACAGACCATACAGGCCTCCAGAAGGGTCATGTAGAAGTGCCATTTTTATTACACTATTGATTTTGTAAAGTTTCTAAAATGTTATACCCATTTGGATTTAAAACCCTTTAAAATAAAATTTAAACTTTACAAAAACATAGTAAAACAAAAACCTGGCACTTACATTACTTCCTCGTTAACTCTACAGCAGCAGGTAATACACATTGTTCCCAGAACGGTATCAGGCACACAAGTTTCCACTTATTTTTTGTACAATGGTGACATTATTAAAGCTGCTGATACTCAAAAAAAAAGTAAACAGCTATAATAATTGCAAGCCCCATCAGCATCAACAGAGGAGGAAATTCTTTAATTGGGAAAGACAAAACTGGTAGAAAAATAATTCTTCTAGATAGGTCAAGTTTGTTTATGAAAAAGAAAGCAGTACACCAAAAAGAATAATTTTTAATTAGAAAATATTTACCATTTCATAAGCTTTTAGAAGCAAATACATATTTAGAGGAGTCATTTCATTATGTACCCCATTGTCAGAGATTATGATTTCCAAAGATTTGCTGCTGAAAACGAAATTGTCTTCCTTTAACATTAAAGGGATCTGGCTCCAATAAGTGTGCAGTACTAAAATCCCTGTGTTGATGAAAGCAATAAGCCACAACAGGATGTACACACTTGGCTACTGGGGCATTGTGCAGCACAACACCAAAGATCTTCAATCACTTAACAATCCCATCAACAGCCAAATAATGTATACCCTAGCATGATTATTACTGTTGGGTATGAAACATTAACAATCATCTAATTTTTAAAAATGAATCCTACATTAAAAAAAATAGTAGCGGGACTTCCTTTGCAATATGATTAGAGGCCCTAAGTAGATTAAAGGTGGGCTGTTACTTTGGACTGATTCCCATTTTGTGGTGCACTGTACCTCTAGATAAAGATTCCTTTTCTGCGGAAAAGGACCTAGGGGTGACAGTGGACGAGAAGCTGGATATGAGTCAGCAGTGTGCCCTTGTTGCCAAGCAGTGTTGCCAGCAGTGTGCCCTTGTTGCCAAGAAGGCCAATGGCATTTTGGGATGTATAAGTAGGGGCATAGCGAGCAGATCGAGGGACGTGATCGTCCCCCTCTATTCGACATTGGTGAGGCCTCATCTGGAGTACTGTGTCCAGTTTTGGGCCCCACACTACAAGAGTCCAGCGAAGGGCAACAAAAATGATTAGGGGTCTGGAACACATGAGTTATGAGGAGAGGCTGAGGGAAATTGTTTAGTCTGCAGAAGAGAAGAATGAGGGGGGATTTGATAGCTACTTTCAACTACCTGAGAGGTGGTTCCAGAGAGGATGGTTCTAGACTATTCTCAGTGGTAGAAGAGGACAGGACAAGGAGTAATGGTCTCAAGTTGCAGTAGGGGAGGTTTAGGTTGGATATTAGGAAAAACTTTTTCACTAGGAGGGTGGTGAAACACTGGAATGCGTTGCCTAGGGAGGTGGTGGAATCTCCTTCCTTAGAAGTTTTTAAGGTCAGGCTTGACAAAGCCCTGGCTGGGATGATTTAATTGGGGATTGGTCCTGCTTTTGAGCAGGGGGTTGGACTAGATGACCTCCTGAGGTCCCTTCCAACCCTGATATTCTATGATTCTAAGTAGGCCAATTTTCATGTGAGGCTCAGGTAATATTGATAGAATATATACTTTCAACATATAAACTATACTAGTTTAAAATCACTCTATGGTTACTTACCTACCTGATCCTGAAATTAAATCTGCACAAGTAAACTTTTCATTTGTGTGGAATCCCACTGACTTCAGTTGGGCTTTATACGAGTGTAAGGATCTGGCCCTGCTGATCCAATTGCTGATCCTTAGACCCCACACCTGCTTACCAATATGTAACTTACATGCCTTATATAAAACTTTTATAATCTCTGAATTTGGCCCACTGCATTTAAGAAAATCTAAGTTTTTTTAATCACATGCCAAGGGGTTGGAAGAGGGGACACAGGAAGAAAACCCACTACAGAAGGTGGTAAGGAGATCTAAGCAAAGTAGGTCACACCCACACACTCTTGAACTTACACCTTCCTCTAGCTTCTCAATGTGTAAGTAACACCAACTTTGACTCTATCACACATCAGCAAATGACTGCAAGTAAGTCTAAAGGAATATAACTGAGTCCCCCTTACTCCATCTTACACAGCACCTCTGACTTTGGGCCTGTGTCTCCAAGACACTGGTGTGGGAGTGATGATCCTAAGAAACACATATTTTTTTCAGTGATGTGATCCTTGCTGTGCATTTACCTTGAATCGATGCTATCATAAGAAGCCCGACCTGACAATCAACCCATGTCAAAAGTCACACTCAAATTTTGAACAGTGCTAAACTCACAGACATGAGCAATGCAGGCTTATGTGGAAGTTTACTACGATTCCCTAAGACTTTGTGTTGCTACAATGCCTGATAGATACATGGGCAATAAATGATCATGGAGGAGATAATCCCACCACAAATATTACAGTAATCAGATAAAATTCTGAGGTGATATAAGTTACATAGGTGGGATTTTCAGAAGTATTAGAAGCACAAGTCTCACAGAGAGTCAGTGGGACTTATGCTCTTATGTCACTTAGGTGCTCCTGAAAATCCTGCTCATGTCAATAAAGTGGGGTTATAAATAGGTATAAGAGAAATCTAAGTGTATGCTAAGGTATATGAGGGAGTCAAAGTGAGTGTAAGGGAGGCTAAATTGATTTAGCTAATGACCTCAGCTGGTCCTTCATTATGCAACTTAAAGTAACAGGGAAGTACCCTATTTTAACTGACACTCCCCCATTAGGCATGTCTACGCTGTAGCTGGAATGTGCTTCCCAGAGCAGGTAGACAGACGCTCTAACACACTAAAAATAGCACTTTGGCTGTGGAGGCTTGGGCTAGCCACCCAAGTATGTACCCAGGTGGTTGAGTATGATTATATTCGGGTGGCTAGCCCAAACCACTGCCTGTGGCCACACTGCTATTTCTAGTGTGCTAGCTAGAGCAGAGCTAGTGCATGTTTGTCTACCCATGCTGATATGCATGCACCCAGCTACAGTGTAGATATATGCTCAGTTGCTCTCCTGATACACCTCTCTATTCCAATCCTCTAGTGTGTAAATTACAGAAACTGACATTCCTTTACACCCATTACTGACATGGAACTTTTACCATCTTATATATCACCTCTGATCTGGCTGAACTAGGTTAGCAAGAACTTAACATTTCTTAATTTATGATACCTTCGTTGAATATGAAAAGATTGTTCAAGACACATATCATACTAACCAGTAGAAAATGTTGGAGCTCTAAAAATCCAGTCAGTTTCATTTAACTTTATACAGTGATGCATCCTTGAGTCTTCTCGGAGATCCCACACTACCAATGAACCATCCATTGTTCCGGCAAATACTAAAGTTGCCTTACTGGGACTAAAGCAGCAGCATGACACCTATAAGGTAGGAACAAATATACTAGGTTTATAATTGAAAGGGAGCTAAAGGCTTGATCCAGCTCAATATATCTGTGTTCTTCCAACCCACATAAAAGCTACAGATGCTGGCTCCATGGCATGCCAACATAGGAGGTTTTCTGCAGCCTATCTCCTCTCCAGAGCATTGCTGTATTGTCCCTACCCACAGTTGCAAAGCTGACAGGTATAATCCCATTGCATAGTAATGGCTGGGGAGACAGACGGCTCCTTGAAACCTCTGGCCCAGATTAAAAAAGAAGAAATCTGTAAAATGCAGTCAGGGTGAACGTAGACCATCTCTCAGCTCTCCAATATCGGAGTGTGGAGTGGAGTGTGGTTATTGTCTCACTCACTGGATTCAACTGTACATGATTTATAAAGAAATTTTATACACTCTACCAGGACAGAACAGCACAATATGCATCCAAAAATCATTCATTCAATAGGCAATTGTGCAATGACTAAGAACTGTACCTCTGCTTCACAAACTAAAACTTTCTGAGGACTGGAAGGCTGCCAGACATTCCATACACATACGATGTACTTCCTGTCCAATTGAATAGCACCTGGCTTTTCAGGTAACCCGTGAACAGAAAGCAATGCCTGCCTCTGAACCTGAGAGACGTGCAAACAGGATACCTTTCGGCCTAAGTCAAAATAAAAAAGGAAAACTTGTTGAACATGAGAGAGAATAATTAGTTGCCACAGCCACAACCGAAGAAATTAACAAGTAATTTCAAAGAAAATTTTAATATTGCTGGCAGAGTGCATTTTCTGCCAGAGCATGAAAGAAGAGGGCATAGGAAGAGGGAAAGAAAACTGTTCTCTCCTGTCCCAAAACTGGCTTTAAACGAGGAAAGTGAACAGGAATGGAGAGAAAACTGAGCCACTGCTCTGCTCAGCTGCCTGGAGGCAAAGAATCTGCAGAACTATTATTTTGAGCACAACCAAGCCCTGGCATTCTCATTAAATGACTATGGTACATGGTGGAAGAGACACTAACATCTCAACCAGAGAATGGGCAATAGAGGGGAGGGTGCAGGATGTAGAAACGTAGGCATTTGTCAGAACAAGATTCATTTTTCTGGCATATCTGTTAGAAAATGCAACATTTCATGTTGCAGTAGGTCTTTCCTTCATCCAGTTATGACAGTTTTAGTTTTTTCATTTAAATTTTTGTAGTTTGCATGGAGAAAGACACAGCTTTAGGGTAATACACTGTCTTCCATGTGTATTGTGTTCTAAACATATCAAGCCATATTTTAGCAGTGCAACATGGTTATTTTGCCCCACGTAGTCAAAGTTAATTGAGCTCTAACCCCAACATAACTAACCTGAGGAGGATCACTCCATGCAAGGGTGATCTTTCAGAGACAGAAAGCCAGTATATTAAAGAAAAGAAGGTGTGACTCTTGGCTGCATTTTTGGCCTCTTGTGGTCATTTGTAGCCGCAGTCCTCTAAACAAGCATATAGGGAACTGCTCTATATAGAATTACAGCAGGATCAGAGGAATGCAAAAGTGAGTTTTACCGCACCTTTACATCCTGACATGTGCTCTCCACAGACCAATCAAGCACAAATGCTGGCACTTCATGTAAAGAAGAGGAGTTCTATTTGTCCACTAAAAGGTGTGCAATAAAGTTCTCTTACCATGGAGAAAAGGTAGATTAGTATTTAACTGGAAGCAGCTATCACTAATAGACAGACTGGTTTGTCGAGATCTTAGATTCCACCTGGGTTGTGTTGCAACTCGATCTTCCTCAAGCAAAACAGCAATCACCTTTCAAACATAATTAATTACATTTATAGAAATAAAAAAGACCATTCTTCTATTTCAACTTTGCTATCGGCAACTTTCAAAACTATTTTGATGAGTTTAATAGCTGTTGATCAACTCTCTTGGTAACTTCACAGCTTTGCAAAACATGGTTTAATAGGGAGTTATGTTTTACACAGGCTTTTTTCTAACCCTCTGCACAGGGTTGAATCTCACCCGTAATTAATATTATTCAAGGGTACCTAGAAAGGACAGGCGTTTTAAGTGATCCATCTCTCCCACATTTTATATATGCACATTCACTGAGGTAGAAACGTACCTGACAAGCAGACCGGAGGAAGTTTGTTAATCTCTGTGAATCAATCTTAGGTGTTACAGCAATATCTATAGACACATCATTGCTGCTTCTGGGACCTGTAAAAAGACATGAGGTTACAAACAGGCACCAACATACAAAATCAGCTACCAAGGAAGTTCCATGTTCTATGAAACATTTGAGAAAGAGAAGGGATGATAGCAGCCAACTTCTCTTCAGCAGCAACAATGCTGAGTTTGGAGACGCTGCTGGGGGAATACTTCTCTTTCCAGCAGAAGCAGGGATCAATCAATCAATCAATACATAAATAAATAAAGCAGTCTGTCTCATTTCATGATCTAACAGCAGCAGTGAAAAAGAAGGAGAGGAAGTTTAAGCATTTAAGGCCCTAAATAAACATAAGCAAAGGGTTACTCACCTCCAGATACAAGGATACTGTCTCCTGGATGTTGTGTCCATTTTTCTAGAGTCTCTATTTCATCTGTTTGAACGTCTCTCTCAAGATTATCCTCATTGCTCTGAACATATGCCTAAAAACGAAGTTAAAATTATGAACATGACGATGCCAACTCTGAGCACTTTCTTGCTGCCACCAAATAGCTAAAACTTAACATGAACAGTAATTTTTAAAAACTATTAAATTCAATATTACTGTCTTCTGTTTGTCAGTTAGTTTCTAAATACATACACATAATGTGCTACATATTAAATTGAGAGTAAATGTATTTTTAGGTTTCAGAGTAGCAGCCATGTTAGTCTGTATTCGCAAAAAGAAAAGGAGTACTTGTGGCACCTTAGAGACTAACCAATTTATTTGAGCATAAGCTTTCGTGAGATACATGGAATGCATCCGATGAAGTGAGCTGTAGCTCACGAAAGCTTATGCTCAAATAAATTGGTTAGTCTCTAAGGTGCCACTAGTACTCCTTTTCTTTTAATGTATTTTTAATTATTCATGTTTAAAATCAAATCTTTGAACACATCTACCAACAACATTCCGGAAGACACAGAACAGACAAACTATTTTAATGCTTTGACACACTTAGTTCAGGATAAATATTGAATCTCTTGCAAATATTCTGAGGACTCCTGTGGTTTTGCAGCTGTCCTTTATGTTAATAAGCACGAGTCATCTAAAAATGTTTATGAATGTATTATGTATTGCCTTGCTTCCTGTTGCCATTGTACTATTTTTCCCACTATCCTCCCACTTCATATACAAATTCCTCTAAAAACTAGAGCGCTACTGACTGTTTAGGCTCATTCCTGACATGGTTTTTCTCTTGTCAAAAGTAATTAAAGTGTTGACATTTACCACCCTCCTAGCTAATGTAACCAATGGAAGGAAAATAATTTTTCAGGATAAGAATCTCAGTTTTCAGGATTTATATAGTCTTAAAAGTCAGGTACTTGCCTGTTTAGTGTTTGTTTTTCCAAAGTTCCTGATGTACATGTCATATTCATTCACTGGAGGCAAATCCAGTAAAGAAAAACTGACTGAGAAATCCAGGTCAATTAGTCGGAGCAGTTCTGAACTGCGTTTCCTTTACAATTAATTACAAAACAGAAAAAGAGTTAAGATGCAAAATCTATATGAACCCATGGCAATTTAGAGGAAAATGGCATTACACAATAATGTACTACAGATCTAGCAATCTATTCACCCCTCCAAACAAATGCATGGAGTCCCAGATCAATGCCCATTGATATTAAAATGTTTATCCGTGTAGATACTCATACAAGGAATGGCAATATTAGGAATCTAGTTTATTGTGACATTAATAAGATCATATATGACTTCCAAGACCTAACTGCAAATCTAGGGAAACTTATACTACTAATTAGAGGTATACATAAACCCAAGCTTTTTATAGCCTAGGGAGTGTTTGTGTCCAACTATTCAAAGTGACAAGTTAAGTTACAGACCTTACTGAAAAGCTATGAAAAACTACGCTTCCTGTGATATAACAGATGCACTTTACGTTCTTCAAATAGTTAGGATGGTGGGAAGTACTCCTAAAGCCATGCCAAATATGTTAATGATATTCACAATTTTTTCTGTGTACACACAGGGTAATCTACACAAGCTGTGACAGCAAGACTCCCAGCCTGGCTAGCGCTTAGGCTCTGAAGCCCATGCCCCTCCCTATGCTTCAGAGCCTGAGTTCCATCCTGACCCGCAACGTCCACACAGGTATATTTAGTGCAGCAGTGCAATTCCGAATTTGTTGACCCTGTCTGAGAAGCTCTCTGCTGCGGACTGTATAGACAAACCCACACTATTTAGATTCTATAGAACAGAATTGATTGTTCTTTGTTACACTAACTCAAAGAAATTATTTTAATATTTCTTTAATTTAAAACAAAGCGTACAAAAGGGATTTAATTTAAACCAAATAACTGTAGTTGATAAAGCAATCCTTCATCACATGTAAAATAAAATATTATATAAAATATTATTTATATATAAAGTAATTATATATCAGGATGGATAAAAATCAATGTTTTTTTTCAATTAAAAATCGGATTTTTTTAATTTAAATCGGATTTTTATGATAAAATCAGGAAAAGCCTATCTAAAGATTTTTGAGGAAAAGCCTATCTAAAGATAGTTTTAATTAAGATACATTATAGCTCAAAGATATCTCATCAAGGAATAGGGATTATAAATTCTAATTCTATAGCATGAGACAATATATTCATATAATGTTTAAGAAAAGTTTTGTAAATGAGTTCCAATAGTTTATGGATTAGGCACCCAATCTCATGGGGTTCCACAGGCTTCGGTATAGATTATTTAGGTTAATCTTTCTATATACACAATGGGAATCAGTTCTCAGTCTAGACGACACCATCAGAGATGCTTAGTTTTGCAGTTCTCAAACTGTGGATTTGCATCTCCAGAGGTAACATGATTTTAACAGCAAAAATGTTTTAAAATAAATAAATAATATATAGAGAGGTGAGAAATAAGAGACCTCAACTCTATAGTACCTCTGCAAATTTGTGTACACAGAGTCAATCCCTTACCTCTCTCTAAAAGTGCAAAGTTTCAAGAAGTACAATGAATAGAAGATTGTTGGGGGTGGAATAGATCTGGACAAGGAGAAGAAGGCTGGAGATAAATGTGAGAAGAGAAGGACATATGCTTGTTTTGTTAAAATATTATATGTTTGCTGTTGAAGAAAAAAATCCAGAATACTTAACGTTGTTGTTTTAGTTAAATAAAACAATTTAAATGTCTCTCTGGTGATGTTCTCCTCCTAATACAGCATGGCAAGAAAATCCTCCAAATATTAATGATTAACCTGTTGAATTGGAGATAGTTCACCTCCCAATGACTTCATAAATATCTGCTTCAATTACCTTTGGTAAATGAAATAACCAATCATTCATTTTCTGATATAGCTGTAAAACTAATCTGAAAAGTTTTCAAAATAAAGAATTGTTTACAAATGTATAGTGTATACCTACTAAAAATGAAACCTACATCTATCTCTGAGTTGTGAAGAATATATTTATAACAACCAACAAGAATGCACTTTTATGTAGAAAGCCATAATTAAATCGAGTCTTCCGGACTAGTGATTTAAATCATGATTTAAATCAAATCAACCCTGTTGCATATAAAATATTACTAAGAATATTTCAAACATTATGAAAAGAATTTACATTTTAGATGGTGAGCTGCCTAAACAGCTACATGCAGTGAATTTTTAATGCTGCTTACTTCTGTTTACTGGCCATATTTCGGTTACTTTGCCGCTGGTTTGCTGTTTCAAAATCCATGAACATTCCACAAAGAGAGCCTCTGGCAGGAGAATCTTGCCTTTCTGTATGATATTACAAAATTTTGTGAGTGAAACTAATAAAACATTAAAATGTCAGATAACTGGAGTTATAGCAATCAACAAAATGTGTTATGATGTGCAGATGCTAAAGATTAATTATGCAGGTAAGGATATATTTGCAGGAAAAGGAGTGGTGCACTGGGTATCAAAACTTTATCAAATATAAAGCAACTAATCTTTTTTCCTTTACTGCTGGTCCTTTACTATTCAGATTTTCATTTCTCTTAAAACTGTCCCTTCTTTTCACCATGAAGAATTCCCCAATGTACATTAAGAGTTCAAGGATCAGCGACAATACTCTGCCTTTAAGATGGCCCTGTTCAAATAGTGATTATTAGGTCAGATTCACTCAAGCTGGCAGAAGGTGGTATAAACCACCTCCCAATAGGAGGTTGGCCTCTACAGCTGAGGCGGAATCACTGGTTGAGAGGAGACATTGTAGCCCTTTGGGGACATAAGGCACAAGCTGAAACCTGCTGCTCTAAAGCCAGTCTAGTCAATGAACCAACTAAAGAGCTAGAATCCATGAACTCTTAAATTTTAGTTCCAGCTCTGCCAGTGACTCACTATGTGGGCTTTGAAAAGTCAATTGACTTCCGTGTCTGAATCAATGTCAGAGTCGACAATATTTAGCTATCTTAGAAGAAGATTGCTAAGATTTGTTAGATAATGTTTGTATAGTGCTTTTAAAATGTAAGATGCTATAGGAGTGCTAAGTATCACTGCTATAGTGATCTGTAGTTTACATTAAATCAGAATGATTTGTCAAAATACATAAAATACTGTACAATTTACAATAAATCAAAATTTGTGCAGCAAGTATTATAAGGGAACTTACAAATCTGATCTATACAAGAGCATACATTAAAAGCTGACGCAGGAATGGTGAGCTTCTGCAAGAAATATAGGAAATCTGCACTGCAATATACTGACTCTTATACAGAAGGCTCTCACAAAACCTGCCCTCTTTTAAGCTGTGTCTGCACTAAAAATTAGGACCCATATTTCCACATTTATTGCCTTTTAATAATTAGATCAAATCTGCTCAGTTTACAAGTAAGAAGATGATTTTTCTAACTGCCAAATTACTACTTACTCAACCTGGAATCAAAGTCAAACTGAGTTCTGACAAAGATTCTGTAATCAGATTTTAGTTAAAAATGCAGTTGATGTTGCATTATCTAGAGAGAAACTCAGTCACTCTTCCATAGCTGTATTTGCCCTGAAGTACCAAGAGGAGTAAAAAATAATAAAAGCGCTTCTTATAGACCCAATCCAGCATTGTGATCTGCATGGTTAGACTGTGTGAAGGTGAATCGGGGCCTTATGGCGGACATAGTCAATAAACTAAGCAGATCTGTCGAGGAAGAGGTTGTCATTTTACATAGTCACTTTTCACAGCAAAACTATACTTTAAAGATGAATTATAAACCAAAAATAAAAAATCGTGTTTGTGTTCTTTTATATTTTGGTTATTTTTTCCACCAGTAAAATGTTTTTTTTTTTCTCTTGTTTTTAACATAAAAAATATCAGGTCCTGACTTCTCTCCTTCTGTTGGAGGACGTTGTTAAGACCTTTGAAAGACTGGGAGGGCGACACCATAGGAAGCTGAAACATGATCTGCAGCTCTCCCAGCCCTCCAAATGAGGGAACAGGGTTATTAAGTCTCGGCCTTTATACTTCACATTTGAATTCATTAGTAATATCTCTGAAGTTTTGGTTAGCTATTTTAAAGTTATGCTGCTTAGCCACAAAGCTAAGTGATTTACTCAGAACATTAGTTTTTTGCCTTTAATGGAGATCTTTAGAGCAAGCAGAAGTATCTTGTTTGCACAAAAGCTGCAATGCATTTAATAACAACACTTAGAAGATGAGCTCAATCACATACCCATGTTTGGTTCCTTTTCATGTTCTTTTTGAATTTGCTTTGGTAGTAAGGTACCAATCCTCTCATTTTCTGCATTAATTGCTCTTTGAATTTCTTCTATTTCTGATTTTTTGGAAACAGGGATCTCTCTTAGTCTTTCTTCTGAGTCTCTAGCCTCACTATCATTGTCTTCATCATCATCGTCATCAAAATCATCTACATAATCCTTTAAAAATAACACTACTTTTAATAAATGTTAAACAGAAATTAAATCAAAAAATTTAAATCATACTACTGGTGCTTGTGTCAAAATACTTTTTGTCTTTTTTTAAAGATGCATTTAAAAAAAAAATCCTATAGCTCAATACAATGAAGAGCAAAAAGAGTTCAAGAGCAATGATGCATGAAAATGGCCATAAATCCTCTGATCAGGAGTAATTTTAAAAAATAATTCTTTGATTTAAATAAATTACGTTCTCTTAAATGCTGTGATAAGCTTATCTGGATTAGCCATACCCAGTGTCTTGGAACAGAAAAACAGTACCTTTTTTTTTTTTTAAATCTTTTAAAGTGCATATCATAACAATATATGTGCTGGTGTGTGGTGCTGTAACTGTTTTATGAACATTTGTTTAAGCTGAGATGCATAACTCTTTGTGGCTTTGCACCTATGAGTAGTCATCCCCAACTCGTGCCAATAAAACCTTTATACCAGCACACACCATTATGTAGTCTATAACAATATGGCATAAAATGGTCATATTAATGATGGAATAAATATATCTATTTCTGCAACCAATGAATAAAATGTACTTATTTTGCATCTTTCACCTCATCTTCTCTTTTCCCACTAATCTATATATGCTAGGACTGTGATAATCCAAACTTTTTAAACACTTTCTAACAGCCATCATTTAAAAAAAATAATCTAGATTCCCAAACCTGCAAAGACTTAGGCCCATATTTAACTTTAAGCACAAGAGTTGTCCCACTGAAATCAAAGGAGATATACCATATATACACACAACTTGAAATTGTGGTTTTGACTGAAATCAATGGGGCCAAGATTTCACACACAGACCCTAGATGACCACAGTCCACAATTTGGTTGGACATGGCTAGTAATAACGGTCCTTGGGGCACACTTTTTTACACAACTTTCTTGGCTAAATTCTGGTAAATAGAGCTGGTAACCTTATTTTATTCTTCAAACCAAACTGCAAGTCCAATAAAAAAAATTAATATAATTTTTGTAAATTGCTACACTGAACACATTTTGGTGACCTACTGACATGTCAGACATACATGTCGAATTTAAGTTTTTCTTAAAATCAGCATTCCGTAACAAGTGAGTAGGCCAAAATTCAAGACTTTTACTCAAAAAGGTTTGAATACCTGAAATCTAGTAAGACAGAATGATGATCCTTTGAAGACTCTGAATGGAAAGTCAAAGTTGCCCCTCCTGTTTTCTCCCTACCCCCAGACTCAGAAATTTGACTTGATTAAGATAAAAGCCTGGCAAGAAGTCTGAAAGGGCCACAATGTTACCAAAAAAGTAAAAGCATAAAACACAAACCATGTTATATTTGTTATTACAGCAAACAACAAGTTACACTTATGAATGATTACAAAAGGAATAAACTTATACATACTTCAAAATCATCTTCATAATTTGTCAAATAGTTATCACTGGTTTCCTAGAAGGGGAAATATAACAGTATAATAAATTAAGCCATTATATAAAACTTTACAATACACTGATCTTTTATTTGCCAGAACATAAATAGTGAATGGCTTAATTGTTATGTTCTCTAATAAAATTGAAAAATATATTTATAAAACTAATTACTACAAAGTCAGATCATAAATGGAATTACAGAAATATGTAGTAACAGGCGGTGATGATTGATATACAATAACAACAACACAAACAAACCACAACTGAATCACATTCTATGAATAACAGCTTCTTTTCTTATGATTTTTTGGGGGGAGATTAAATGTGCTGGTTTCAACAAAGCCCCACACAAAGTTACTGTAGCTTTTATATTGGTATAACAACAGAATAAAACTGCCTTATTTCTCAGAGAACTAGACCGGAACATTCCTTATACACTATGTTAATTATAATGGGGTTCAAAGCTGATTAGTAATTAAAGTAATCCAATTGTAAATTTGAACTAGGAAAAAGAGAGCCACAGATTAGTGGGCAAACAACAAATCTTCATTTGATAATAACTTAATCTAACAAGATTACAATATCAGCTAAAAGCAATACTGAATTTACTGAGAGAATAGTTTATTCTTACTAAAATGACTGACAAGAAGTAGCTGTGCTGGCTGTCCTTAACCCATTGCCCTCCAAAAGCCACCATTTCTCTAAATACCCGTGTCTGCTTTTAAAAAAAGCAATGAGCGACCAATTTATTAATTTTTTATAGCTATGCTCCCCCCCTTGCTATTCTGTTTTATTTATTCATAACTTTTACTATCAGAATGAAAGGGATTTTAAAAGATTTCAAAACAATAAAATTGTGCATTTATGAAAAAATGTACAACACCAGCACTTTTGATAATTCACATCAGTGGCCTACAAGTTAGTGGGTAGGATCAGGTATTTTTAGTGCAACAAAACCTTGGTCTCTCTATAGCTGTGCCAGTTTTTGAAAATCTCATACTAATTAAACTGCATAAAAATACTATGCAGAATTGTATTGAAAAAAACAACAACAAATGGAATTTAACTCACAAGGAAGGCTATTTGATAGTTCCATGCTCTCAAGAAATCAAGAGAAAATAAAAAATATCAATTGTGCTTACAAGTTCTTCCTCACTTTTTTGCCTCTGCATAGGTTTCCATGCTGACACATGTTCACCTTGGTGTTGCTAATGAATCAAAATATAAAAACAATAAGAGAAAAGAAATGAAATGTGGCCCTGAACTAAGTAACTGAAAGAACCGATTGTAAATATATTAGTATTACTAATTCTTAACACTGAGCATTATATCATGCTTGCAATCTTCAATGTATTTTATAGACATGAAAGGCTGGCTGAGTCAAACCTAATACAGCCATCCAGAGTAATAAGGGGTAGTAAGATTCCAACCCCGCCCCCTTTACAGCTTTGTTAAAGATGTCTGGATTTTGGGTCCGATACATCTGTGCAGTAGGGGGCTGCACACCAGCTGCTTCTCCAGAGACACACAGGTGTGCCCACTCACACTGCCCAATGGTACTGGCTCGGAAAATGAAGGAAAGAAAGCTACACTCATTTAAGAGCTGCTAATAATTACCTTACACACACACACATACACACAGAGTAACGGCTAATTTACACTAGAAGTACTACAGTGGCACAGCTGCCCTGATGCAGCTGAGCCGCAGTAGCGTGTCTGGTGAAGACTCTCTATGCCAACAGGAGAGAGCTCTCCCGTTCTCATCAAAAATCCACCTCTGCAAGAGGTGGTAGCTATGTCAGCAAGAGAAGCTTTCCTGCCAACATAGTGCTGTCTATACTGGTGCTTAGGTCGGTATAATTTACGTCACTCAGGGGTGTGGATTATTCATACCCCAGAGTGACTTACATTATACTGAAGTAAGCTCTAGACCAAGCCTAAGAAGAATTTGGGGGGAATCATGATGCTAAGTCAAAATTCCTCCCAAGACTATTCCTAGGGCAGTGTATATATGCACCTCTCCTCCCACAAAGCTGTGTCTAAGGGTACAACCTAGCTTGGAGTAACTAAAAATAAAAATGTTTATGAAAACAAAGCTTGAAAGAAAATGACAAAAGGTATGTGATCACAAATTTAAAAACTGTAATAATGCACTCACACAAGGGGGCAGTGTTAAGCTTAACACTACAGCCTTAATCTTTCACTGCTGAGTACTTACTGTAAAGTTAAGACTGCACAGTAACACAATTTTTGTGTATGTAATGTCTTGCTTTTCCATGAGGCAAAGGAAAAGACCAGAAAAATAAATTACTTACCCTACAGTATATGTGGTTCTTCTAAATGTTGCAGTCGGCATGGATTCTACTTTAGGGGCACGTGTGCCTACTGTATGTGAGATTGGAGTCTTGTGAATAGCAGTGTCTGTTGGGGCCATGCTCATGCCCTGTGCCTTGTCATGCTTTCATATGGTGGGATAAAGGGCGGGTGGCCACAACCTTCCCTCAGTTCCCTCACAATTCGAAGTCCAAGTTTCTGAGGACTCAAAGATCCAGCCAGAGGTACAGACCAGTGGGTCAGGTACTTGCCAGGTTCCACCTCACTGCCACAGATGGCAAGAGGGAACTGTGGGAGGGCTGCGTTCACTCCACCCTTTATGCTTTTGCATAGGAGCATGAGGAGACACACGGCACATCCAGAGCCCTGACTGACACTGCTATTCAAAAGACTCTGATCTGGTATACATGAAGCACATATGCACCTAGAGTGAGTTCTACACTGATACATACTCAAAAAAGTTCCTTTTCCTGCCTGGCCTCTTGGGCTTTATTACCAACTGGTATAGCTTAATGCAACCATGAGGCCACACTAAGTTACATCTGGAACCAAGTCAGGCATCATGGAGCCAGTATTGGAGGAGACCAGAGATCCTGCACCAAGCACAGTTTGATCAGATCCAAGCTTCAAGGCCACAGTACCTACAGCAACATTGGCTTGTCCACACTGTACATATGTTCTATTTCTATTATTTGTCAAGTGTATCTCACAAAATACTACATAAGTGCCAGGTGTGAACATTTACACTCCTGAAGGAATCTTTAACTTTAAACTTTCCTCAATGTTTTATGACCTGACTTTTAAAAAAATAAACAGTGTAATCTTAATGTTGCATTAAAAAAAGGTTTGCATTCAATATTCTATTAAAATCCACTTACTAAAATTATGTAGATTACTTACAAATGGCTCTGGTTCATAAATGTTTCTTTTTTAATCAGTTTACAATACATCCTTGACCATCATTCTTTACTTCTGGCCTGAACCAGATACACTTTCATTAATGGAAATCTATCCATTGACTTCCGTAGGTGTTGGAACAGGATCTACTTGCCAAAAAGTAGGGACCATAATTCTACATATGTAGATGCCAGCACAGTATTCCAAAACAGAATTTTAGATTTATTGGATGCTTCCGAGATATAATCTCAACATTACAGAATTCTATCCTCTGTAATCTTGCTGTTTGAAATATGCTAAAAATGTCTCAATAGTTAAAAGGTCTGTCTTGGTGAGTTACTGGTACACAAACTTGAACAAAATAAGTAAATAACTGTTATGGTATCCGTTCTGGAAAATTCCTCTAATTTATTTTGATCCACATGAGCCCTGATCCTATTCTTTGCATACTTTCATTTTTTTTATCATCCCTGTGGCAACTATTTTACTGGATAGTTATGAATTACATTGAGGGTCTCATGACAGATAGAATAAGATGTTAATTTCTTTCTATTTAGCTAAAATCACATTTTCTCTGCTTATAACAACCGCATAGAGGAAGAGTGGAATTTTTATATTGTATATAAGTAAACGGGTTTTTCTTGTAATGTATGGTTAGAAACTTCTCCCACCTTTGGGGGGATTTTTTCCCCAAATGTGTAAGATTTTGAAAAAATTTTGAGTAAAGGTGGGATTCACAAAGACACTTAGGAACCTACACCCCAGAGTTAAGCAGCTAGGCCTGGGGAATAGGTACTTAAGTCCCCATTTTAGGCTCCACTGCAATCCATAAAGTGCCTACCAAACTCTGCAGGTGCCTAAATTTTGAGGGTAAAAGTTCCCTTGACACCGAAATTTCTGCCTCTGGGCATATCATTAGGTGGCAGGGGGTGGGAGGGGAAGAATTACTCTGTAGCCTGATGGTTAGGACACCCACCTGAGCTGTGATAGACCAAGGGTCCAGCCCCCTGCTCCACTTATTCTTTAATTATTTATCCACAGTGGAGTAGCTTCAACAGGAGAAATTGAGGGTGCACCATATCAGACTACCCAACAGCTCAATGGTTAGCGCACTCTCCTAAAAGGTAGGAGATCCCTGTTCAAATCCTTTCTCCCCCTCAGGAAGAGGGGGGAATTGAGCCTGGGTCCTCCCAGGTCCCAGGTGAGTGCTCTAACCTCTGACCTAAATGTTATAAGATAAATTTCACCTTCTCCTCCTCCAGCTGTTTTGTGTTCAGTTAGGAACCTGTCTGACATTCTTACAAGAAACACCTTAGGTGCCTAAGCCAACAAACTCCAGGCAACAAATTCCTGGTTGTGTATCACTAGCAGAAATAAGCACCTCCCTGCGGCCTGCACTTAGGCACCTATCTCTGTAAGAGGGGCACACTGATAAAGAATAAATCAATTTTCCTATACTTCATCCTGAAACATCAAAGTTATTTAAGAAATCTTTAATATATATATACAAATTACCATATCTACTTTAATCATGTCATTGTGTTGTGATAATTTTTAGTTGCATTACATATAGTAACTACTATACTATATCACTAATTCTAACAAAATCCCTGTATTCTAATACTCCAAAACAAATAGTTTTACCCTTTGGCTCGTGTCCTCTTTTTTCCCTTTCAATGCTCTTTCCTTTATCTGTTGCACTCCTAGAAATAAACGGAATATCACTATGAATCTGCATTAAGTCAGAGGAAAATATTGTGTTGGGGGAAAACAGTTATTTTATATTAAAAAGTACTGAAGCCTTCCAATAAACTTCAATACTTCAGCAACAAAACCTAACAGCCATTGTATTCTGAGTTTCTTTCTGCAGGCCTCCGTGATGATGTGAGCCAAGAGATTAATCAGCAAACAATTGCACAAACACTGCCCAGATATACTGTCTGACATGTCCTATTGCTATCCTTGAGTGGTAATTATAGAAAAAGTTAAGAAGAAAGAGTTAGTCCTGTACATTTACCGAGTATTACTGACATCATTGTCAGTAAATCAAAAATGGGCCAAGCCTGGCAATTGTTCTTTTATGCTGGAGGTAAGAGATTTACATTCAAACTTGGTCCTTCATTTTGGGGTTAGAAGTGAGGAGGCACCACAGTCAGCCCTGAAGAAGGAAAGAAAAGCAATAATTTGTGCTGCTCTTTAACTGTCCCTCCAATTATTCTGGAGGCAGAGTTTATGGATTTCAAATGAAGAAAGTCCACTCCCCTTCAGCCAAAGTAACAGGACAGTTCTTGAGACATATTATGGAACAGACTTACGGGTATGAAGAAAGAGAGGAGATAAAATATAAGTGGGATGGATTCCCACATTCCTGGGGAAAGAAATCCCTTTAGTTACATAGGCTTGAGAATTTAAAGTCAGAAAGAAAAATTACTTGCCTATAATTCTGCTTCTCTGAAGATAACATTCGAACAAGTTTCTTCATTCCTGGATCATAACTCTATAGTGTTGAATGCCCTCAATTCTTAAAGTAATTTTGTCTATGAGAATAGGGGTGGCAGAGTAGAGAGCAAGCCAGGCTGTTTGCTGGCCATCTTGTGCCACCCCGATAGATATAAATACTGCTCTGGCAATGTTACAGTCATTAACTTTGATGTACAGGAGGCAAAACTCCCAGGATGATAAACTGGCCAAGATCAAGAGAAACTGACTAGAATGTTTAGGCACCGCATTTATACCTTGCAGGGATGTCAGGTGAAGGCTCATGCACTACCTCAGTACCCTCAGAAGCCAGGAAATCCTACCAGTCTTTCACTAAAGAGCTAAGCTAAAACCTAGCAATGAGAATTCTGCCTGCCAGTATGTCTAGAGTTATATTCCAGAAGGCTGTATAGAGATTTGACATGGCTGATTCACTAAAGAATACAAGAACTATATTCTATCTTTAGTATGTAAGTGTAAACTCCATGATCACTGAAGGAAATAATTTATGCATATCACCCAGATCTTTTATCCCTCCTTGTCAAGACCCTTTTCCTTGGAAATCTGTATGCGTAGCCCTGAAATTGCTATCTAATTAATAATTTAAATGCCATGCCAGACTTGCAGCTAAGAAGGACATCTACAATTCAAAGAAACAATAAAAGGTGTGCTTCACAGTTTACCAAGTATCCATATGACTATGTGATAAACTGTCAGATGACAGACAAACAGATGTCTGGCTCTGAAGGTTCCTGGACTGTCTCACAATTTAAGTACAAGGAACAAATTAACCTATATTTTGCAAGTCTGCATCTCACCGCTCTGAACCAAAAATCAAAAGAATTCAACAGGAAGGAAAGCCTGAATATGCTTTTTAACAAATCATCTTTTTTAGGGCAGAATATGTAGGTTTTGTAATAATTTTAATGTACAAATTGCCTCCCAAAAGATTGTGATGCACACTGTAAATTATCTGTAGTAAAAACATATTTATTATTGAGTGACAACAATGCGCTTAACAATATTTGGGTAGTGAACTGTACCTTTCCTTTGTGACTTTCATACAAACAACATATATCGTACAGTATATAATAACGTTAAATATATGAGTGTACCTTTCATGATGATGGCTGGTTTCTTCTTCTCTTAAGCTCTTTCCTTGTTTTTTGTGTTCAGTCTTCTGTAAAAAATTGAAAGACTAGCATAATTCATAGTGACAGGTTTCAGAGTAGCAGCCATGTTAGTCTGTATCGGCAAAAAAACATGAGTACTTGTGGCACCTTAGAGACTAACAAATTTATTAGAGCATAAGCTTTTGTGGGCTACAGCCCACTTCATCGGATGCATAGAATGGAACATATAGTAAGAAGATATATATATATATACACACACACACATACAGAGAAGTTGGAAGTTGCCATACAAACTGTGAGAGGCTAATTAGTTAAGATGAGCTATTATCATCAGGAGAAAAAAAACTTTTGTACTGATAATCAAGATGGCCCATTTTGACAGTTGACAAGAAGGTGTGAGGATACTTAACTTAGGGAAATAGATTCAATATGTGTAATGACCCAGCCACTCCCAGTCTCTATTCAAACTCAAGTTAATGGTATCTAGTTTGCATATTAATTCATAGTATTCACATTGTCAGAAATCTTCTGAGAAATAATGTATATGACCTTGTAATAAAGTATTAGCAGCAATATAAGAGGTTGCTGAGAAACAGTTATATTCCATTAACAAATCATGGGTCATCATGTGCTATCCATTTCTATGCTCCATTACTTGTAGGAAGCTCTGCATGAGGCCTCTCAAAGAGAAAGTAATTATGTTAAGCTAAGAAAATAGATAGCTGAAACATCAATTAAAGAAATGCCGAACATGTACAGAGAACTTCTCTTGAAAATGCTGAACATTTGCAAGTGATCCTTAAGGGCAACATCCTGCACTATGCTGTGTTTGTGCACAAAGGGAGGAGAGGGGATTGTGAACATCTTTCATTTGTGCAACCAGCAGGACTGAATTACCTCATAATGCTCAAGAACCTGAGGAGAATCTGGCTGACTTATTCGGGCTATGGGTTAGCACCTATGTTGCTTTCATCAGTACATACTTGATGGAAGCTTACAGTCCTCTTGTTCAGAGCAGCAGCAAAGTACACACTGCATGTGCCTCTGGCTCTTCTTGAGGAATCCTGTCCTAACCACTTTAGGATCCCTGTAGCAGAGGCTCTGCCACTCTCTCTGCTTCCCATGCTGCACCTGCCAGGGTGGAATTTATCACTTAATTTCTGTACACAAAGGGCTTGTCTACACTTGCAAATTTACCGAAATAGCTCAAGAGTGTCCACATAAGAGCTTATATATTCTGAAATAGGTATTTCAGCAAATCTCCAAGTCTAGACAAACCCTGAAAAATTTGCTGATAGTCAGTCATCTGACTTATGTCACTAATAAAGACACGGAATTACACGGGGAGCTGGTAGCAATTCCTATATTAAGGTTGCTTACATTCTCCTTTACCAAGGAGTTTTCCAACTTATTTTGAGAAGCTTTCACACCTTCTGTTTGCAGCAGGCCTTTGATATTCGGCAGGAGGAATCCCCTTGTACTACAGAAGTGATTTTTTGACCCATGACATTCCAATCAGATTAAAAATTGCCATTTTTTCACTCATGCAGAAAAATGTTGGCAGCATGCCAAAATCACAGAACACTCCAACATTAGGCTTGCATTTCTGTCAAAACAGCAGCAGCATCACATACTACACTGGAAACACCAGGGAGATGTTAGAGCAGTAGTAGTGAAGGGCTGAGGTTGGGGAACTGGGCTGTACTCTCCCCATAACCCTTGGAATCCAGCACTTGGCACCAGTAGCCCAGTTACCCCATTCCCAATTCCAGAGGCACCATTTGGGACAGAAGCTCCCCCAAATCCTGAGCAGACACAGAGAGAAAGAGGGCCTGGGCTCCCCCAACCACTGCCCATGGCACCACAAGACAATCACAGCTCTGGAGGCAACAAAAGTCTCATAACATGTTAATAATAGGTGGGATTTACAAAGAAGCCTAAGGGAGTTTAGGTGCCCAAAAACCAGTGAAATTAAATGGGAGTTGGGTACCTAACTCCCTTGGGCTCTTTTGGAAATCCCAGCCAATTTGTTTTTCTGGACGTCTAACAATCTCCTCTTCAGCATTTTAATAAGAAATTCAGGGTCCCAATGAAGAAACTGCCAGACTGCATTTGTGAAGAAGACAATCAGAATGCATGTGTGTGTATGTACATTTCAGGAAATATCAAAATTTATTGTCCCCTCAGGAAAAGCTTCATTCAATATTTGCCTTCCAAGTCCATATCTCTGGAAGTTCACTTCACCAGAAATCAGTATTTGTTTATTATGTTTTAACAAAGCATTTTCAAGACAGACTGGGTGTTAGATGAAATAAGAAGGTATCCGAAAAATGTTAACTACAACTTTTAAGTTTTACAAAAACTAACCTTAAGGTCTCTTTTCTTTCTTTCATTTTCTTCCCTCTGTCTTTTTTCATTATTCTCGCTCAGTTGTCTTTCTCTGTCTTCAATGGAAGATCCTTCTTTAGGTCTCCTTAACACATATTTTTCTTCCCCATCCTTTACAAACAATTCATGGCTTCTTTCTTTTGAAGGTCTCTCTTTTCCTCCCCTAACTGAATGTTCATGTTCTCTTTTATCCCTATGACTCCTCCCTCTGTCTTTATTCAGTTCTTGATCTCTGTGTGACTTGTGTCTATGTCCACCTTCTTCATCTTTTTTTGTTAAAAACTCGCCAAGACTATTTTTGCTCTCACTTTTCTGGAACAAGGAAAAATAATACAAAAAAAGTTAGAGACTTCTCCAAAGATTTTTAATTAAAATGTTAGAAGTAACAGAATTCTATGATTCTAGAAATCAGGAATGGATACTCATATTAGGTCATCTAGTCCATCTCCTTGCCAGTATAGGATTATTTCTCCATACAATATATTGTCACGTGTTGTGTCTACTGAAGTTTCTAATTACACCAGCAATGGGGCTTCCAATACTTCCTCTGGGAGACTATACACCTCATTGTAATGGTGAACTCCCCTTTAGAGTATGAACTCTTCAAGCAGAGATGTAGCTCTTTGTTTTTTAACACATAATCTGTGGTAAAGCACCATGTACACTTACAATGCCAAATAAATAAATTAGTAATAAGTACATTAATAAATAATAGGTTAAACATTTTGCAATACATTTGTTTGATGATGCTGTACAAAAATAAATGATAGCTACATGTTTAAACAAGAACAACATATCTCCTTAAAGATTATTAATGGAAATGTTAAAAACAAATAACATTTAAACGTTTTCATGTTGAAAGTTAGATGACATTTCCCTTTTAATAAGATTAAATTACAATTAAAGAACTATGTTCAAATACTGTTTGGTTTTTTGTAACAATTTACATGCAAGCTTGCTATAAATACACTTCTTGGGATTACTCAGGCACTGGAGTTTTATCAAATTTATTCATTACATTTCACCTTATCTTATGCTATTATGAAACATTTCCTTACTTTTCCTTCCTTTACTTTTCTTTCTGTATGTCTTCTCTCTTTCACTTCATCCCTTATGTTTGCTTGCTCTAAAAAAATTATATATATAAAATTACTGAAGACATTTTTTTTTATTACACTAAAAACCCCCAGTGTAGTACATGACACATTACACCGATAGTATGTGGCACGTACTCCACATTTCAGTGACAGGGACCCTGAATCCAGCAATGTTAATGCAAATAGACAGAGTTGCCACCCTTCTCTCAATGGAATATATACACACATTGTATAAAATTCAAACCTACCACCTTTTTTTGGGAGGGGAGGAGTGGGAGAGATTTATTGGTAACAAATAATAAAACAGTATAAACTTGAGCCTAAATTTCCCCCCCAAGATTGGCTGTATCTGGGGTTTTGCCTGAAGAGAAGCCCTTGAGAGAGACTCCATTCCCTCTTGCATGATGGTAGGAACTACGATACCGCCTGCTATCACTCATCTATAATTACATTGCAATTTCATGCAGAGTTCAGGCACCTGATAGCAGAATTACCCAAAGGAGAAGCTCTGTATTCATACAGGGACTTATAAGTCACCCACTATGTTAGAATTAATTAATCACCAAAAACTACTATACTCAGTAACTCACTGGGAAGGAAAAGAGGCAGCTGAGAACCTGGGAGCTTGAAAATGAAACTGGGTTATTGAGTACGATTTTCAAATGCACACATGGCAGCTAGGCACCCAGTGCCCATTGACATTACGCTCCCTGCAAGGACAGGAGTTTGGTTTCAGTCCATTTCTACCTATAAAGTGAAATACTTCAAAATATGCACAGCAAAGCAAACCAGCCTACCCAATTGATCCTTGCTTTCTCTTCTTCTGCGTTGTTCTTTATCACTTCCTCCATATGCTTTCAGGTTATTCTGTATAAGCATTTGCTTCAGCTCATCCCTCCTATATTTTCTGTCTCTTTCTTTATCACTCTCCTTCTCTTTATCTTTTCTTTTAATGTGTTTTTCCTTCTCTGCATCTTTTCCTTGGTCCTTGTCCTTAAATTTCTCTCTCTCTTGTTCTCTGTGATGATCTTTTCCCCTTTCTCTTTCTTTTAGCTTATCCCTGTCTCTTTCACTAGATTTAAATCTCTCTCGTTCACCTGTCCTTTCTTTTGCCTTTCCTCTGTCCTTGTCTTGATCCTTGTGTCTGTATCCTTTGTAATCAACCATGTCATGAGTCTCTATAGCTCTTTGCAGTTTCTTTTCCTTCTGTTTCTTATCTTCAGATTGACTATCTGACTGTGATACCTAAAAAGAGTAAAAATAAACTGATGCACAATTAAAATTCACTAATTTATTTTCATATAGTATTTTTATCCCAAAAATCCATAAGTGATTTATGGAACCCAGTTTCCAGAAATTTGTGAAAATGCCCACGTGTATACATGCCTGGATTGTGCATACAGTTACTACAATTAAGCTTGCAATTGTCATAATAAATTGATATACAAAGGGCAACTCAGATGCATGACTCATCATTTCCATATACTTTAACAGAACTGCTTGCACAACTTGGTGTTCATGTGTACAAATTACACATGTAAATATGCATACTTTTTTGTGCTAGTCTGAAAATTTAGCCCTATATCTTTACGTTGTGATCATGCCTTCTTCGTTTAGAAAATGTATCACACACCACCAATAATAAATAATAATATTATTAAATAATAAATTATAACAACATATATGTGGGCATCATGCAGCCACCTCTATGGCAGAAGATTGGCAGTTAGTTGACAACAGGCATAGAACATACCGTATAACGAGAGCTGGGAAAGAAACAATTTGGCCAAGAACTTAGGGAAAACCTAAAGTCCTATTTTTAAAAAGTCACGAGGGATGAAATCCTGGTCCCACTGATGCCCATAGCAAAACTCCCATTGATTTCAGTGGGGTCAGGATTTCAGCCTAGACCTTTCATATTTACGCAGAGCAGACAAGAACTTCTTTTTAAGTTGCATTCATACAGTAAACTGAATAAAACTTAATATATCTACCTAATAGGGATAAAGGGCTCAGTCACTCCTGCTAACATCAAAACCTTTCAAGTCTAGTACACAGACCACTAAGCCATCCCCACTGCAGGGCTATCATTCACTTCCATTGGTGTAACAGAACTAATCAGTTTTAACACTCTGCACATTCATGAAAAATGAAGATTCAGGCTCTGAACAGAAAAGCAGTTATTATCAATGATCTGGCCCATGTATTGTACATGTGACCTGCAGCGTAGTTTCTGTATAACTAAATAAAATATGCATTAACTGTTTCCTGAGTATCAGAAGATTGCCTTTCTTAAACTCGATGTTGAAATTCTCCCACAAATCCAATTAAATCTGAGCTGGGAGGACTGGAGTGTCTTTGCATCCTAAAATATAACATTAGTCACATTAATTTTACTAAAGAAAGCAGTCCAGAAAATGGCTAAATTGATTCTATAAATTTACAGAAGATGTTTACCCTAAGATGTTTCTTAAGTTCATCTGATTTCCAAGTATCTTCTTTGGTTCTTCTCTAGAAAAGGAATGACAAAGACATGCTAAAGATGGAATAATTGAGTTCAGGTGCAGAATAGCCACTTTGCATATTATCAATGGACATTTTTAAACTGAGGAATTAAGCCATTTATAAATATGTATGTACCATTAAATTTTAATTACATCACCATTAACTTGCTTAAGTGTGCCTAGGTATTTCAAAGTAGCTCAAGTCCACTATTTCCACCACCAGAAGGGAAAGTTGATTTTCCACACAGCAGTGGGTCCTTTTTGTTTTATTTCTGAGCACTGGAGTACAACAAAATTAAAGATAAGTTACTGCATACTCCAATTAAACTGACTAAGAAATCTTCTTGTTAAGTAATTATGTTCCATAAGGTGCTGACAATATTCTCCTATCCCTACTACTGCATAAGGTATAATGGGAATTGACATTATATATGTCAATTGACTGTTATATGAAATACTGGCATTTGGCACTGAAGTGAAAAAGGGGTATAAAGACAATCACAGTATAAATTCAGGCTTCCTCTGGTCTCCTTTCTTAGTAGGATAGCAACATTCCTTTTGTCATAGCTCTCAAAGTTATTTTCCTTAACTGGAAAGCTGCATACAAACTAAATCTCAGTCTGTGGCATCACTTACTACATAGCACTGCAGAATATAAGAAAGTTCATCTTATTAAGCATTTTCTCAACTTAAAATGGGTGCCATTTTAATTTAAAGGGATATGGCAGGACAAGTCTGGTTTCAAATTTAGGTTTTGTAAAAGTTATAAACACTAAGTCCAACAGAAATGTTTCCATTTATATATTTTCATAGTCACCTGCACAGAAAAAAATATTATGTACAAACAAGCCTTGAAAGAGTTATTATTTTTAAAAGTGTTTTTCTGCTTCTTTTTTTCTTCCCTTTTTTTTTTTTTTTTTTTTTTTTACACAGTAGAAATTCAGGTCTTGCCTAGCCAATATTTTTCCTAGAGTACTTTATGAACTGGTGACCTGCAGGATGATATCACATGTACCAAGGAAGTTAAACCTGGTTAACTGAGAGGGGAAGTGATTTTTAAGACTTAGGTTTTTGTTTTCTTTAGTTCTATCAACTAATTTTAACAAAAAGATGATTTTGTTATAATTCAACACACCGAGCCCTTAAACAATATGCCTAGAAAGATCCCAATCTACTTCTTTGGATCCTCCAAGGAGGCTACTAGGAAAAACAGGGACAACATGAATTGAAATTCCTAACATTTCTAAAGTTAAAAAACGCAGAAAAAATTCAAAGAAAATAACTATAACTTTCAGAAAGAAAAGGAGTACTTGTGGCACCTTAGAAACTAACCAATTTATTTGAGCATAAGCTTTCGTGAGCTACAGCTCACTTCATCGGATGCATACTGTGGAAACTGCAGAAGACATTATATACACAGAGACCGTGAAACAATACCTCCTCCCACCCCACTCTCCTGCTGGTAATAGCTTATCTAAAGTGACCACTCTCCTTACAATGTGTATGATAATCAAGTTGGGCCATTTCCAGCACAAATCCAGGTTTTCTCACCCTCCGCCCCCACAAACTCACTCTCCTGCTGGTGAGAAAACCTGGATTTGTGCTGGAAATGGCCCAACTTGATTATCATACACATTGTAAGGAGAGTGATCACTTTAGATAAGCTATTACCAGCAGGAGAGTGGGGTGGGAGGAGGTATTGTTTCACGGTCTCTGTGTATATAATGTCTTCTGCAGTTTCCACAGTATGCATCCGATGAAGTGAGCTGTAGCTCACAAAAGCTTATGCTCAAATAAATTGGTTAGTCTCTAAGGTGCCACAAGTACTCCTTTTCTTTTTGCGAATACAGACTAACACGGCTGTTACTCTGAAACCTATAACTTTCAGGCAAGAGAGAGATCGATCAAATGTCTACACTGGAGCGGGACAGTATAATTTCCAGCTCAAGTAAACATACCCATGTTAGCTGTGATCAAACAGAAGTGAAGCCATGGCGGTGTAAGCAGCAGGACAGTCTAGCTGCCCGAGTACCTACCCAGGGTATCAGATGGGACTGCAGTTTGGTGGCTAAGAAGAACATAAGAACATAAGAATGGCCACACTGGGTCAGACCAAAGGTCCATCAAGCCCAGTATCCTGTCCTCTGACAGTGGTCAATGGCAGGTGCCCCAAAGGAAATGAACAGACAAATGATCCATGCCCTGTCACCCAAACCCAGGTTCTGGCAAACAGAGGCTAGGGACACCATTCCTGCCCATCCTGGCTAATAGCCATTGATGGACCTATCTTCCATGAATCTATCTAGCTCCCTTTTGAACCCCGTTATAGTATTGGCCTTCACAACACCCTCTGGCAAGGAGGTCTGTCTTGCTGCTCATGCACCGCAGCTATACTCCTATTATTAGTACACTAGCTCAATTAGAGCTAGTACAGGTATGTCTATTTGAACTGGAAATTACACTTTCAGCATAGATATACCTGTGACCCTAGGAGTCCCTTAATGCCACCTGGCAGAGGGCTCACTATACTGTAACTCATATCAGGCCTGACACACTGACAGTTTTGAGTTTCCTGAGCAGAACGTAACAATGCCCAAAAAGAAACAAGACAATTTTTTTCCCCCCATTTGCAGATTGCAGGGTCTGGGTGTGGGAGACTCAGCAGGGGGGTCTGGGTGCTGGAGGGGACTGGGGTTTAGTGGGATGGGGGTCTGGGTGCAGCTGGTTGGGGCTCATTGGGGTTTTGGCCTGGGTGAAGGTGGGGCTCATCGGGGGGGATCTGGGTGGGGCAGGCTCAGCGGGGGGTCTGGGTATGCGGGGCCTCTGAATGCAAGGGGTGAGGCTTAGCAGGGTGGGGATCGGGAGTGGGGGGCTTGGTGTGGTTTCTGGGTTTAGGGGGGTGAGGGTCAGCGGGGGGTGACTGGGTATGGGGAGGTCCAGACGCACAGAGGTTGGGCGGATGGGGGAGCAGCTACTTGTACAGTGACCCCACCCCCAACGGCTGAGGAGCAATGGGGACAGGAAGCGGTGGGGGGCGTGCGGAACCTCCTGCAGACAGGGGAGGTTTCTGGGGGTGGGCCTGACCCAGCCCTGGCTGCTCCTTGCACGGGACGAGCAAGTCTCGTCCTCCCCTGCCCTCAGCCCAGCCAGGACTAGCAGGTGAGCCTGGCGCAGGGCAGAAGCCACTGGCTGGGGCATCCTCAGCCCCCTCCCCCCCCCCCGAGTGATTTACCTCTCTGCAGGAGTGCAAGTATGGCGGTACCCATAGAGATTTCTAGCTGGTACAGGGTACCGGAAAGACGTGGGGCCGCCGGACAGCCCCACTCCAGCAGCTCCGCTCCCTCTCCCCACCCACACGGAGCTGCGTAGCCCTGCTGGAGGACACGGCTGAGAGGGTGGGGCTGCACTCTGGTCCTTTTCCTCTGCCACAGTGGGGAAAGGAGCAGAACCTGGCTCGGGCATTCATTCTTGCACAGCGGAGCCAAGAGGCCAGTGAAGAAGCTTGGCAACATGTGACCTCCAGAAGAAGAAGGGGGAATGTCTGGGTTCCAGCAACGCGGACACAAGTAACTAACTGCTTTCATGTTCTCTCCGCAGGTACCTTTGCGGAGAGTGGACCAGATGATATGTCTGGGGGGAGAAAGCAGAAGGAGACTCCGCTGGTTGGAAGGCATGAGATGCACTGTCCTGAGATGGGGGGTTCCACGACCACCACTCCCAAGAGAAGGAGGCGGGTGGTGGTGGTCGGGGACTCTCTCCTGCGGGACTGAGTCATCTATCTGCCGCCCTGACCGGGAAAACCGAGAAGTCTGCTGCTTGCCAGGGGCTAAGATTCGCGAGGTGACAGAGAGACTGCCGAGACTCATCAAGCCCTCGGATCGCTACCCCTTCCTGCTTCTCCACGTGGGCACCAATGATACTGCCAAGAATGACCTTGAGCAGATCACTGCGGACTACGTGGCTCTGGGAAGTTTGAGGCGCAAGGAGTTTGAGGCGCAAGTGGTGTTCTCGTCCATCCTCCCCGTGGAAGAAAAAGGCCTGGGTAGGGACTGTTGAATCGTGGAAGTCAACGAATGGCTACGCAGGTGGTGTCGGAGAGAAGGCTTTGGATTCTTTGACCATGGGATGGTGTTCCATGAAGGAGGAGTGCTGGGCAGAGACGGGCTCCATCTTACGAAGAGAGGGAAGAGCATCTTTGCGAGCAGGCTGGCTAACCTAGTGAGGAGGGCTTTAAACTAGGTTCACTGGGGGAAGGAGACCAAAGCCCTGAGGTAAGTGGGAAAGCGGGATACCAGGAGGAAGCACAGGCAGGAACGTCTGTGAGGGGAGGGCTCCTGCCTCATACTGAGAATGAGGGGCGATCAGCAGGTTATCTCAAGTGCTTATATACGAATGCACAAAGCCTTGGAAACAAGCAGGGAGAACTGGAGGTCCTGGTGATGTCAAGGAATTATGACGTGATTGGAATAACAGAGACTTGGTGGGATAACTCACATGACTGGAGTACTGTCATGGATGGTTATAAACTGTTCAGGAAGGACAGGCAGGGCAGAAAAGGTGGGGGAGTAGCACTGTATGTAAGGGAGCAGTATGACTGCTCAGAGCTCCGGTACGAAACTGCAGAAAAACCTGAGTGTCTCTGGATTAAGTTTAGAAGTGTGAGCAACAAGAGTGATGTAGTGATGGGAGTCTGCTATAGACCACCGGACCAGGGGGATGAGGTGGATGAGGCTTTCTTCCGGCAACTCGCAGAAGCTACTAGATCTCATGCCCTGGTTCTCATGGGTGACTTTAATTTTCCTGATATCTGCTGGGAGAGCAATACAGTGGTGCACAGACAATCCAGGAAGTTTCTGGAAACTGTAGGGGACAATTTCCTGGTGCAAGTGCTGGAGGAACCAACTAGGGGCAGAGCTCTTCTTGACCTGCTGCTCACAAACAGGGAAGAATTAGTGGGGGAAGCAAAAGTGGACGGGAATCTGGGAGGCAGTGACCATGAGTTGGTTG